ATTTGATACAAAATAGTTACACAAAATGGTGATATTTCTCTGAGTCTTCATCTTACACTTCGTTTATCATTAAATATCAAGATAGGGGCACCGCTAGAAATAGTGGTCCCAACAGTATGGAAGCGATAGTTTCACAAGGTTTCAAAAATTAGCGGAAAATTCCAAAATTTTCTCCTTTTGCGTCAGGAAAGAAACCCATAAGGAGGTGTAGATGAGTTGAAGCAATCACTTCGAGGATAGACACATCGCCTCAGAAGGATACAAATGTCTGTCGTGCCGGACGGACGGGATAGAAAAAACTGAAAAGACTAATTTCACGTATTCAAATATTCTATTCTATCCGAACTTGATGTAAATTTGAAATATTTCTAACAATCAAATATTAGTTTGAAACGTTATCATACATTTTGAACAACTATATTTCTCAACATTTGGAAATTTTAAGGCCAAAAGTACCAATGGATCATCGTGACGGATGGACGTGACCGACGGACTGGAAAATTTCGTTTGAGATTAAAAGCACGTCATTTGTTATCAACATTTAGTAGAGGTGAAAAATGATTGATGTCAATCGTTTATTTGACAAATGAAATCCCATGTCCGTCACGAATTTTTCAGAAATTTCAGAAATAGCGACAAAAACTGTCCTTTTGCTTTACCTGTGATATGGTACCCCTACACCAATATTTATGTTGATAATACAGGCAGAAATACCGATTCTTTTGTTTTCAGACAGCTTACGATTGTCCGTCCGTCACAATATTCCGGTCAAAATGTTTACCAAAAATAAAGAAATATGCTGAAAAAGCCTTGAACAAAAATAGCCACATTTTAAAGTGTCTATTTTTCTGTCTTTTCAAATAATTATTCAACAATTTCAATCACTTTAAGAAGTATTTCTGATCAAACCACTGATCCAAAGTGCGAATTCTAGCCACACTTCTCCAATTTTATACAGTATTCTCTCCAATTAACGGACACTCTAAAAGGCGGACACCTCTGATTAGCGGACAAATTTTTTCCCCCGATCGTTTTCTGGTCAAAGTCTCATAAAAAACTTTCTAAAAAGCGGACACTTAATTAGCGGACACTCTAATTAACGGGCAATATTGTTTGCACAAAATAGTCAATTTGGCTTTTTTTCTTTTCGATTAGCGGACAGTACAAAATTTTTAGGAACCAGCAAACAAAAAAATAAGGCGAGTGAATATTTGTTTAAATATTTATTTCAAGCACTTTGACACTTGACTATCTAGTTAGCTTTTTATAGCTTCGAGCTTATTTATAGCCCAGTTTACTAACTTTTTTGTCCATGAAAGTGCTGTGTTACGCTTTATTTGGTTATTTTTTCGTTTTTTGGCGTCTAAGTTAAACCCGATAGCTACAAATTACCCAGACTACACCCAGAGGTGGCGTCAAAAACCTGGTAATTTAAATCTGCAAATTTTTCCTTATGTAATTAACGAAAGCTCCATAGGGAGTAAATTAGGGGATGGACAACTTTAGCGGTAGGGTAGTGGTGGAAAGAAGGTGATGTTTCACTGCAGTTATTTTATAAACCGTTTTTTTTCTGCTTAGAGCTCGGAGATTTTTACCAAGAAAGTATTCTAGAATCTAAGTGTGAAGAATGTTCTTTGTGCAAAAACATATATTTGTTTCCAGACAAAAGCCTGCAAGTAGGCTAGTGCTTGCACTCGTATCAGCCGAAGAATTCAGTATGAATTGTCAGTAATCACTTGTCAGAGCCAAAAAAAAGATGCATATGATATGATTGCAAAATAAAGGAATCAGATAAAATCTAATGCCAGGTGGGCATGGGGATAGAAGCATTGTCATCATTTGGCTCAGCCAGTATCAGTTCATCAGTTCAAGTTCCGCACAGGTCGCAACTCATTGCAGGGTATTACTTGGAATTTGAAACAACTTTTCAATTTCTTCATTAAAACATTGAATACAGTGTTGTGAAGTAAGCAATATGTTGCATTTATAGTTGTACCAGTGGCGTACCCAAGGAGGGGAATGGGGGGGGGGGGTCGGGACCCCTTACTTTTCTAAAATATGATCCTTGAGATTTGTCCAAAAACGATGTAAAACTCATTGGGAGGGGGGGCAGTATACTGTATGCTTGTGTCAATAACAATTGTAAAATGATTTGCTATTTACCGTAGCTAACATGAAACAAATAATGGGAGAAAATTTTGCAAAAAGGGCGTTTCCCCACATTTGCGAGTGTTTGAAGGGCGTGGTCCAAAAAAGATTTCCTGTGGGCTAAGCCCCAGACCCCCCACTGAGTTGTACAGCTGTTTTATTTCGCTAATTCATATCAAGGTCCATAAGAGATCATTGTTAAAATCAAATTTAGTGGATCATTCTCTTTAATATTCCTTTCGACTCAAGTTTAGCGTGTCGGCAACGGTCTGTGACAGTCGGGAGACAAATGCACAGTGGCGAAGCTGGCGTTATGGAACAGAAGGCTGATGGGGGTCTGGGGGGCTAGATTGCAATCAATTCTGTCAATGACTTCAACATCTAAATGTTCTTTCCATCCCATTCTTCAATCTTGTGGGTTTTTGGAGATATCTTCGGGACCATGTTTTTAAAAACTTATGCATTTGAAAACCCCCAACAAACACTGATCACACTGGAAAAACATTGCAGATGAGAGAATATTATATCTACAAATATTTTTACAAAAGCTAAACTTTTGATAAATCAGCTTATTCAAGTCAGCAATGGCTAAGAAATATCCATTCTCTTACTATTAATCAAATCAAATCAAATCAGTGCTAGGTTTATGATTATAATGACGAGGTCATGCTATTCCAAATGAGCATGACTTACCACAGGGATACCAAAAGAAAAGTCATTGAAACTCAGCCGACTAACAGGAGCGGTGGGGCTCTCTAAGTAAAGAAACCCTATGGCAGGTCATGCTCTTCAGAATGAGCATGATTAATCACAAGGGACCAAGATTGGGAAGGGCAGTAGAATAATAAGAATAAACTGGAGGAAAGGGGTTTCGAAAGTACTTTTTCAATAAAGAAAATGTTTAATCATTTTTATAAATGTCTTTAGCTCTGAAATTTTTTAGTAATGCTCAGCATGACCAGCATGACCGCTAGCTTCGCCACTGCAAATGCAGACTGTCACAGACCATCGCCGACACTCTTACGATGGCAAACAGGCTTTAAGAAGAAGATAAAAAAGTATCAGTTTTTTGGCTGGCATTTTCAAGTGCGGCGTTGCAACAATTTGGGGCAATTTCTTCCCGCCTTCTTTACAGCACGCGCAGCAGGGATAGTGTTGCAACACCTGTTTCTAACATTTTTGCGAACTCAACAGAATGTGCACACGTCTTTGTTTTTTGCGCTGTAATACGGCAGCTCTATCGTGTCATTGCAGGACAAATCGCTATTACAAAATACAGCTGGCAAATCATAAATTCAAAAATGCACAAATTTAAACTTTTTGGTTGCTGTTGTCTATGCTTTCAGTCTTGGCTAGCCTTTTACGTTAGAACAGAGGACAAAAATGTTCGTCACCACCCTGAGAGGTATCCTTTGCCTTACGTATTGTTTTATGTTGTGAATAACAAACTGGGGGAAAGTTGGATTATTAATTTTCTTAAAATAAGGCAAAACTGAGCATAAGTTTGTTTGACTTTCAATAAATCTAAGACGGGCGGGACTTTTATATGAAAATATAAAATGTGATACAGGCGCTAACGAGAATCAACTAATTAATTTCATATGGCCTAAGGGAGAACAACGATTTTAACAACGACCCTTTGCATTTAAACAATGATTGGATGGAAACCAGCATCGAAAGAAGATTCGTTAGAAAGAGATATTGTTTTTGGAACAACAGATAAACTTCTTTTGTACAGTCTGCTTTATTACTATTTGATACTTCGAAAAATTTACAAGATCATTTACAATCAGTCAAGGATGCATAAAAATCATAAAAAATCACAACAATCATTCTAAGTTTTAATTCAAAATACATTAAGAGCCAGATACTCATATCCTTACAGCATACTTGTAATCCCCTTGAAACACATCCCCTTGCAAAAGTTTTGATGTTAAAGGAGCTACAAAGAATAAAAGTGTCCATATTCCCCTGACAACATCGTCAACACAAAAACATAAGACAGGGTGTAGTATTTTTCTTTCATTTTTTTCAACTGCTAAAAAGTCCATTATCAGTCTACAAATGGTGAGAAGTGGGGAAGATTAGGCAGGATATAACTTTGAAGACTAACTATTTCACTAATTAGAGTCTCTAAGATTAAATAGGAAATTCAGACAACTTAAGTGGGTCAAATTTTCAATCTTACTGTTGAAAATGGAAATATACTGTAAAGACCAGAGTATCTCGACATTTACATAGAAAGCTAGGTAAAAGTCTTTCTTCTAGACAAAGATATTTTCTGTGATGCTTTAGGGTTTTATCCATCAATACGTCACTGACCCTGAAAATACAAACAAAGAACAGACAATGCTCGCCGTATTCCGGCGTACCTCAATATATCTACAGAACTAGAATAAACACTAAGACCCTGACCTAAAATGAACGAAACATCGGTGTAAAACATCTTCCAACATTGTTGGCTAAAACATGCTATATTCATTTGGCTACCATGTTTTACGATGCTTTGTGATGTTTGAAGGATTAACTTTCCATCAAACATCGTAAAACATAACTTCTTATGCTTGATCAATAATATTGCGTTCGTTTGAACTTCACTCAGCTTTCACAGAAGGTTGACATGCGGTTAATAAAACGCAGTAACTGTAGGGAGATGTGTGGCAGGCCTTAAAAGACTGGCCAAATCAAACGATTGCATCTTCATATTAAACGTTTTTAACGCAACAAAGTCATAAAAGCTAAATAATTCAAACTTCAGAAAACCATCAGAATATTGCAACTTGTTGTTGATAAATATGCATTATATAGAGAATTCTTCAGTAAAAGCTTACCACGTGGTGAGAAAGCTGGCGCTTTAATATGAAATGGCTGTTTTCAAAATCATATTTTACTCTCCTTGTTAAAGCATCTGGTAACTTAAATCTGCAGGTTCTTCATTAAAAAATATTTTAAAGGCCCCCTCAAATCAGCTCAACTTTTAACTGAAGCAGAGGGATTTTTGTAATTTCTGATATAATAAATGCTAGTGTGGAAATTGATTTCCTTCAAACACCGTAGATAAAAGCATCCTTGCAAGTGTTTTTTTCATGCAAGGTAGAGAATCGTTTTGCTTGTAAAACTAGCATTGGATCCAATATATAATGAGAAAAAGGTCACAGAGAAAGAGAAAAGGATCATATCAGGCTTCCACGCTATCAGCAAACGACAGTTGTTTTGTTCTGTCAAAAAAGGATTTTCATGCAGTCTTTCTTTACACCTCAAGACTTGACCTTTGCCAAATCGTATTGGAGTGCAGTTAGAGCAGAATGAAATGGTACTGCCAGGCCCCTGACACAGAACGGTTAAGCAAATGTCTACTGCCTCATCAATACTAGATCAGGCCAGGCCAGGTGTAGATTAAATTCTTCTAGGCAGAACGAGGTATCTTACAAAGATCAAAACTGACTTCCATTTTTACTGTGATAATTTCTTGCCTAAGTACCCCCTTCCTTTGGTCGAATAAATTCAACCATTCAGCGATCACAAAAGCAACCAGCTGTCAATGAAAACTGTTGGAACATTAGAAAGGTCGGTAAAAGATGTTAGTGATTACAGGAAAAAACCGACAGGCGGGAAACAGGGACGCCAGAGACGGGGGTCGCAAGCGGTCAAACGCACCTATTGCCTTTTGATAGGAGGGGCAAGGTGGCCAAAGTGCCCTTTTCATCGAAGTGTCCTTGAAACCGGCCATTTGTAATAATCAGAGAGATTTACATGAAATTCTGATTGTAGTGCTAAATTCATATCATGACGACTTTGCTGCAGTACCGTTGGAACGAAATTCTTATTCGGGGGGGGGGGGGCTGCCCATTGTATTCCTTCTCATTCAGTGCACCGTCATAAAGGAAACATACTGCAGCCTGACAATTATTGGGGGCTCTGGAGTCATATCATATCTCAATATTTTGATTTAACATTTTGAAATGAGACATGCTTGCCTTGAGCTAACAAGGAGCATAAAAAGGTCTGAATCAAAGAAACTAAGATTATTTGGGAGACTACAGATCTGACCTGTGCTCAATCATTGTTATAGGGTTAAGAATTTACTCTGTAGAGATCATTCTGTGGACTGGATTATGTTAAAATCTACTGACTGAGATAATTTTTAGGGGGTTACATTTCAACCCCAAACCCCCTCCTTTGTAGTTTGGCTAGGTACAAAGGAGAAGGTCGAAATAATTGAAATTTAATCATACAAAATATATGATTGACCCCATGCCGAATTATAATCTGAAGTCAAAATTTTGTGGAATGCTTCGAAGCGCTTTTGCAGCAAATAATTGCTATGCACACATTGTGAGACAAATTGTCAAGTAGTTTGCCCATTAGAAGCTTGCTGCACGCATTGGATCAAAACTGAACAGTGTGCACACGTATTGCACACTTTGTCAGCACTCTTGCACACATACACACATTTATATGTGCTCTTGCACACACAAGATCTTGTTGAGAACTGCCACGCTCTGCAGACTGGCCGAAGGGCCTGTTCTGGGAAAGTAAATTGCATTTTTTTACTCTTTTTGTGATAAAAAATATATCAGCTAACACAATTAGAGCTACCCTATATAACCAAAAAAGGTTCTAGAAAAAGAAATTTCCAAAGCTTCACCTCAGAGCCACAAACACCCAGCTGCTTAATCTTGCTACGGTGGTACTTTTCCTGGCTTTACTCGGAAAAAACAACAGTGACCGAATTTTGATCAATGACCATTCAACGAGATAAAAGAATGAGAAAATAAAATCAAAACTGCTGCTTACTTGATGGCATCTAGTCAAATGCAAATATGATAGGAGCAGTGTACTCTGAATGGCGAATACCAAATGAAAACTTTGGTGCGAGCTTCTTAGTGACATAAACCTGAAAGAAATAACCAGTTACATCAATTAGAAACATTGCTGTGTGTCAAAAGAAATTTAAACCCTGCTTTGTTTTAGAAATGACCTTGAAGACATTGAAACAGAGAAATATGCTTCTACTCTGAGGTTATTGCAATAACATGCAATTTTTAGTGATGGCAAAAGTACTTCTTCCAGATCAATTTTATAAAGATTAAGGTCCACAGAGCATATTAATGACTGGAAGAAGAGTAACAAGGTTTCAGCTTCTTGTAAATTCAAAAACTAGCAATAACCAAAAAAGAAAGCTTTCTTAGATCGCACCATCATCCGGTGGAATACTGAATATTTCTGATAGCTAGGTTGAAATCTTCAAAATATATAAGCTGTGCACCCAGGCTGCTTGCTATCATCCTACTCTTGGGTATCTAATTGCTGTTCCCGCCAAGTGCATTGAAAGGGGAATTAGAAGAGACAAAAGGTCTGAGGCCTGTGCTTCAATAAGGCCATAATAATCTTACACCATGTTGCTATCAGATTATTGCAAGATCTACAATCAAGAAACCTAACCAAGAAAATTGTACCTACATAGGGTGTTTCCCTTGTTGATCAAAAGGCTGATGGGCAAACTCACAGAACATTTTCTAGGGGTGGGGGGGGGGGATTTTTGTGAATCACTCCTGGGCCCAAGTTGGCTCTTGATGGCCCTGGTCCCTAAATAACTTTTGGAAAAATGGACAACTTCATGCTCTCATTTTAACTTGCTTGTTAAGTTCAGGAATTTGAATAACCCCGATTTTCATTTTTGAACATTAGTGGATAATTAATTAAAGAACATATATGATTGGGAGTTGAGTTCACTTCACCCAAGCTTTTCCGATGATGTTTATTAAACTTTAAAGAATTTTTCAAACACTCATTAACTTATTTCAACCCCTGCTAAATTGGTACGGAGGTCAATTCGAGTAAACTGTTTAAATGCAAACAAACATTAATCAAACCTTTTCTGGGCTATGAGCACCTGGACCTGGTTTCTGGGTGCTGTCTCCTGGCATGTTGTTCCTTCCACTCATTGAGAATTCTGCATGTCTTGTTTTGTAAACTTTTGGGTCCACAACTTTATATGTACCAGGGCCAGGAGTCTAAAATGTAAAGAAAAACAAACTCTGAGACAATATTGTGGAATTATTGAGAATATATCTGACCTGATATAAGTGGAGGTTCCATTTTCTTTATATAAGTGGAAGTTCCAGTGTCCAGTATCATTAAAAGAATAAGCCCCTTTCTTCTAAATTTGCAAGCAAATGAAAAAAGTTCAGCAAAAGACAGTCCTGTGATATATTAATATTAAATGAAGGGGGTAGTTACCCCCAAAGCCATTACAAAGGCTGTTTTCACAACCCCAGTGCCTATGATATATTAATTAAAGCTATTTTACCTTCTGCAAATCTTCATGAAAGCCCCCGATCTTTGACCTGCTTGTCATGGAATAACTGGGCATAGTTGTCTTGTGAGGTACTTTTGATGATGTCAGGTTTGGAAGTGAATACTGGTTTGGGGCTGGATAGCCATCTTTTTGTGAATATCTTGTTCTTGAACCAAATGAATATGCTGGAGCTTTCTTTTCCCTTAGTGGAACTACTTTCTCGGCATAATAAGCATCTACAAGAAACATCGTATCCAATATGTTGAGAAGTGTATAGGTTTATATATGTGTTAATTTATGGTTTACAAGGAGGGTGTCAGACGTGACGAAAAGTTGTGACTGGACTGTTCTCTCTGAATTGATTGGTAACAAATTGTTCACGATTATCTCTTAATATGATCAATAAAATCATATGCTTTTTCTAATAAAAAAATACACTTTTATTTGATAAAGAATACTACAACGTCAAAAAGGAGAGATTCTATGCCACGCAAACATGCAAGTAGGTCAACAACATATCAATAAGCCAGACCTGTTTGTTGCGATTTTTCTTTCTCTGTGCGTTTTATAGAGTCAAAAAATTGAATACACTTTATTAATAATTCCAACAGTGATTTTGAAAAGTTACGAATTGCAAATTATGCCACCTGGTCAGTCATAGAATAAATTACACTCAACAGTTTTTGTTTGTGTGCTACCAGGTCAACGCTTTGACTAACGGCTAATACCAGTAAACGATCAAGAAAGGAGCTAGAAAATGTGTTTCTAGAGGAAATTTGGGGTTTCATCTCTAGGTTTTAAATAAAAAGCAGCTCTTACCAGGACCGGGTGTCCGAAAGGAAGCTTGCAAGTTTGGCCTTCCCTTGAGCGAAAACTTTGGAGCCCCATCGGGACCATTTCGTGTCATCTTTTCTGGAACATGATAAGCAGGGCCAGGACTGCAATCATCTTTGTCTTTGGCTTTTCCTCTCACTCCAAAACTGTAAGCTGGTGCTTTTGACTTCGTGAAATCGTGCTTTTGAAAACCGAGGGTGTCTGGTAGACCATAGCATGGGCCGGGCCCTCGAAACATGGCCCCAATCATGAGTTTCTGCTTGCCGCTTTCCCCTGTCATTTCAGACGTTTAGGCTATCTTTTGGAATAATTTATGGCGCTAGTAGCAATTGAAAATTGATAAAAGAAACTTAGTAATTCGAGGCAAATTCTTGGCAGCTGTCTTCGAATGTCATGCATGCGCTCAACAAATCTCGGCTTTGATGTTGCGCACACCAAACAAATCACGTTTCTATGGTAAACCAAAATAACCACGTGACTGCTCATAAACGCAATGCCTGTACCGCTAAGCAACAAAACGGAATCTCGTGTCGACAATTTTCTTGTGGCGATGTTAATGCAGTCTTTACAAAGGTACTACTCTAGTCTCTTCTGACCTTGACTTTGCTAAAACTTTGAAAATCAAAATTAAAGTGACTTATTGGGCGGGTAAAGGCGGTGAATTTTTAAGAAATTTTTGATTACATGATAGGAGCTTGATTTTAGAAAGCTCCGTAGAAAAAGGTTCCTGTAATTTCGAAATTTGAAAGCTTTTCGAATGCAAATTCCTTCTTTAGCTCCTTAGAAAGAAGGACATGAACATCTCATAAAGGATTGTACATCTATGCTTCCGAAGGCAACCTTTAGCGAAATTAGCTCCATCTAAAGCCCCGTTTAAAAGATCCAACATTTCCCCAAATAATTCACCCAACAACTTTGTCTTGCCCTTGCTCCACAGCGTTTCGAAAAACTATCGATATTTCCGCACTTTTCAGAGGAAAAGTACCCCTAAATAATGACACGTCCCGTACCTTAAAACATGTTAAGGTACCCCCATCCCAGCTCTATTCGCTTTAATAAGAATCAGAGGAAAAGTACCCCTAAATAATGACACGTCCCGCACCTTAAAACATGTTAAGGTACCCCCATCCCAGCTCTATTCGCTTTAATAAGAATCAGAGGGAAAATATCCCTAAATAATGACACGTCCCGCACCTTAAAACATGTTGGTACTCCCACCCAAGCTCTATTCGCCTTCAAAAGAATCAGAAAGAGTTTGCAATCACTATTTGCCTAATTCCATCAGTAACCTGACTATAACTAACAACTGGAATTGTATTGTCAATCAAGTGATTTACTCCAACGTTATACACTACTAAAACTTACAAAGCAAGGGGCAATTTAAATTGCGCTCCGGAAAACAACAAACAGCTTACACAAAGGAACGCATGCGCACACTAAACCTAAATTTTTGACTTGAAACAAACTGTATCCAGCATCGGAAATTTCAATATTGGACGAACCAACATGATGCTCTATCGACCAAACATTTCTACCAACGTGTATATTAATCAATGTTGGGTGAAGCGCTGGATAGCTTAAACGGGGCTTAAGAAACTCCACCCTGGGAGGCTTGGACTAAGGATCTGTTGTAAAAACAACTCAAGCAACCCTCGGGTTTAGAAAACCGTTTTTTGAATCTTAAAAGCAATGTCGTGGTATACTTGAAACATTATAAATAAAACAGTCTACAATGGGTTCTGATCCAACTATAAATCTGTAATTTGTATCTGATCCAAACAGCATTATACACCTTTTCGATATCCACGCGCCTATTTACCATAAAGAGACTGAGAAGACAGAAGCCTTTTAAAAAGCTGTTCTCGAAATAAAAAACCTACAAAAGATGTTCAAGAATAAAAATCCACAAAAATTCGAATACTTTTGATGTCAATTCGGGCAGTGATTAGTCGCCAGTAAACGCCGTATTTATATGTAAATATAGGCCCAAGGTAATTTTTTCACCCCATTTCTCACCCCAATCTCTCTATGCAAATAGGGCGCGCGGATGTCGAAAAAGTGTATACGATAGGATAGTGATCCAAACAAGCTGCAAAAGGGATTCTGATCCACGCAGTTCTGATTCAAAACACCCAACAATAATTGGGTTCTAATGGAAAAGTAATCCGTAGTTGGGATTCTTGTCCAAACAGCCAGTGGACTAGTCCCCCCCACTTTTTCAGAAAGTTGGTCCTTGAGATTCTTGCAAACCTGATGAGAAAACTTCAGCAGGGGGGGGGTGCGGTTATGATCGTTACATTTAAATGATATATCTTGGGAGACAGGGGGTGTTCCCTCCGGACGAAAATGTTTCAAACAAGAAAAGGGCGTGGTCCCTGACACACTTTTTGTCCCCCCCCCCTATCCCAGGCTGGAGCCGCCACTGCAAATAGCGATATGCGAAGGGATTCTGTTCTTTTAAATTCTGATCCAAAACACCCAACAGTAATTGGGTTCTAATCCAAAATAAATTTGTAATTGGGTTCTGATCCAAACAGCGATCTGCAAAGGGATTCTGTTCCATGAGATTCTGATCCAAAACACTAAACAGTAATTGGGTTCTAATCGAAAAGTAATCTGTAGTTGGGTGGGATTCTGATGGGATGGGTTTCTGATCCAAACACCGAACTGTAGTTAGATTCAAATCCAAAAACCAACATGTAATTGGTTTTTGATCAAAACATCTGTAACGTGTTTCTGATCCAAACAACAATCTGTTAATTGGTTCTGATCTCCAATTAAATGATAATCATTGAAAGCTTGCAGAGAAACAGGATAAATGACAATAGGAGTGTACAGGAATGTAAAGTACAAAGGAGTGTAAACCCGGATTGGCAAATTCTAATCTCAACTGCAAAGTGAGAGTACATCTTGTACACACACTATGACCAATTGAGGTATCAATACTGGCATCGTGGATCAGAAAACGGTTAGAATACAACCAATTTCAATTCATACAACGGTTTATATGTGAATCATGAGTCTAAAATCCTAAGCGGATAACAGTAATTACAATACTGTGCGCTAAAGTTCGATTTAATAAACTTCGATATAGTAAAACCAGCAAGGGTTAATTATCAATATCTAAACCATAAAAAACCACAGGGTGCTTCTATTATGTAATCACAAGCTATCAGAATTGTTAAATACTAACATATACAAAGATCCTTTTATTTACAGTTATGAAACATAGAGTTTAAAAACTTCAAGCTCGAATCGACATACATTGATATACATCAGTCCCGTTCAGACAATTGTTCAGAGAGGGGTATTGTTCAGAGAGCAGTTTCGTTTAGATAGTCGCTTTTTCTAAATCTCTAACTCCTTTCGAAAAGTGAGTAGACATGAATATCACATTTGTTCTGTCACAGGATTCCCTGCAATTCTTTTGCGCAGTACAGCGACAAGACGTTCTAGCCTAAAATTAAAAAAGACAATGCCACTGAATGTAAAATGAACAAGAAAGAAAAACTTCCTAAGAAAACAGTCATGGAGTGGGTTAATTAACACTTAAAAATGTAAGGTACAGAATGGACCAATTTGGGTGTTTGTCACAATTTCTAACACACATCCAAAAGGCTACAACAGATGATTTCAAATGGCTTACTTATCAGCTCGTGTTTTCTCTTCTTTGAGTTGTGCCAAAGTGTCATGGAGCTGTGACGCCATAGCACTCTTTTCGCGGATGAGCGCGTTTGCCTTTGCCACAGCGTCCTCGTAGTTTCGCTGAGCCAGCTGTAGTTCGCCCTCGGTCGCTCTTAATTTTTCTTCGAAATTGTCCATTGTTGAGTTGAATTGGTCTCTTAAACCTTGTTCTTGCGATAACGACTTGTGTAAGCTGAATGGACAAAAGTAGGACATACAGTGATTTAGCCAAATTGGGTAGGTAACAATGCAAGTTAAAAGCACAAGTGTTCGTTTGAAATACAACATTCAGTGGATCCATTATATTGTCTTAAAGGTGTCATAACTGACCGTTTCATTGTGGATATTGCCGGTGAGGCTTTAAATAATACACTACGAGTTGGAATCGCCCTTTTCGTCTCAATATACTGTGTATTGACCTATTACACACCCACCTGTAGTACACTCTTAAATTTTCCAGTTCCTCTTTGAGTTGCCTTGCTCTGTTGTCCGCGTCTTCCTTTTCTCGCAGCACAGATTTCAATTGCGCCTAGAAGCAAACACGCTATCGGATAAAAACAAGCTATCTAATGATGCCGGGATATCTGAAATAATCTATCTGAAATTAATAAAGCCAAACAGTTGCCTGCTTGAGAAAAATTATCTGCAAATATCAGAATAACAGCTCGCATGAAAAAGGCCCAGGGTGAAAATAAATTTTTATGTAGATAGATTCTAAAATTGCTAGATTAAACGGCGATCGGTCTCTTCCAATAATCCAAAACATGGCGCTATAAAAGGTGAAGGTATATTTCTGCAGCAATATTTCTGTATTTTAAAACTAGTGAAAGGACTGATTAACGAACCAAGTTATGATGATAGTAGAACAGTATTTGTGTAAAAATATCAAGAAAAAAGTATATCTGAAGTATAAACATATATATATAGGTCTCGCATCACCTCAGAGACGTTCAGTTTGACTGTTTTTATTGCAACATTAATTATATCACACTGTCACCCCAAAAAGCTGCAGTAATTTCCTTATGCTCAGTGTAAACTTTGGAGGCAGAAATTACCTGACAAGCTTTTAATCGAGTTCTTTCACTATTTCTCCTGTTTTCTTCATTTTCTGTCTTCTCTTTCTTGATTTTCTCAATTTCTTCTTCAAGTCGTTTCACCTGCAAAGCGAACCTGGGTTACAGTTTTACTAATTTCATGGCTGCATTGTTTTGCGCTACTCTAAAACAAACATAAATACTTTCGTAACATTAAGTAGTTTCAACTCATAAATGGAAATATCTTTTCAAAACATACGATTTTATGTAAAAATTAAAAAGAAAGATGAATTGTTATCAATAATCTATAAAGAGTCAGTGAAGTTAGCTTCAAGTCAATAAAATGAAAATCTAAGTAAATAGGTTGAAGTAATGAAAAGTCGGGAAATAATTTTGACACTGGCAAAACTTTTGTCATTTTTCACCGGTTAAATTTTCGAATTAGTCACTTTCACCGACTTGAATTTCAAGCATGCAATAAAACTTAAATTCAAATATAAAGGTCAAAAATATTTTTTTTAAACCAACAGCTATAAGAAATACACAAATTTAGTATAAAGTGAAGCAACGTATAACTTTTTTATCACTTGAGTCAAAGATTTAGTCGCTTTCCGCCAGTTTTCAGATTGAACAGCTATTACAGGGTCAATACATGTACGCAGGCTTATTTTTGGCAACACTGCTACTTCAAGTAAGGCCAAGTCGTATGCATTTGCAAGTATGAAAAAATCTGCAATCGACAACCTGAGATCTTGCTTCATCTCTCTCTTTAATCAACCTCTGTTCATCATCAACATTTTTTCTTTTGTTTGGCATTCGCTGAACCTTTGCAAGTCGATCTGCTATGACCGAGCCATGCCGTTCAATAAGCCGCCCGTTGTCTGCAGATTCGACCTTTCGGAGAAGCTCATTGAAACTCTAAAATACAAAGACCGTGAATAAAAATGGTGCTTTTAAGGAACAAAGTAAATTGTTGTCATGGCCAGATGACCAGATGGTCTGGATAACCATGAGAGGATAACACTCTGGTAGGGTCATGTAAAGCGACACTTGAAATTGAGAATGAAACAAAAAATACCAAAAACGAAATAGTAAGTGGTAGATTACGTTGATTGTCCATAACGTCATAGCTTTGCAATACAAGGTTTATGTGATTACTGACCAATCTCAAGGTATTAATTCAATCGCGTACCATTTCATCGTAATTTAAGATGTCCATATCTTCATCGATTAACGATCCAGATTCTACACCAGAATCAAAACTATAAAAATAAGAAATAAAATAGGAATTAACTTCACTGCCTGGGAGATGGACAGTCATATTCCGGATGTTGTTTCTTCTCCCGTATTCCTCAGTTCCCTATTTCATACTTTAGTTCATATTTCATATTTTTCTTTTCACTCTAAAATGACATCAAACAGTCTCTGAATAATAAAATTGTTAAAAAACTGTTTAATGAACTGTAAAGGACGTGGAACTTATGCAGGACGTATATAACACAGCTTTGTCTTGAATTGACCCTGTTACTTTGATTTTAAAACTCGCCTCTAAAAAGCTATCACAGTTGTACACTTTTATACCCATTGGACCTTTTATTAGAAACTTTAGTAATATTTTAAAATTTATTTTCATTTTAGTGGGCATCAATGAACTGTAATAACTACTTCTCTATTTTAAAGAAATTGAAATGAAATGAAACGTTCTGGTTTTTTGTGGGAACCTTTAAATCTTCAATTCATTGACATGCTTTCAAAAACAAATAGCAACGTAATCACTTTTGCAATCTCTAGATTTTATGACACCAGCTCAATAGACAATATCTGAAGAGGAAAATGGTCTTAAGAACAAAAAAGCAAAATTTTCAACAACTGAACCTCAAAAGGGTTGATAACTTTAAAGAAAGCAAGAACTCACCCTCTGTCTTTCTCCAATTTTTAAGTCGCTCAACTGCTTCGTTTCTTTCGTCATTGGCCATTTTCAAGCGTGCTAGTATCGCCGCATCTCTTTCTTTTTGGGCAGCATATATTTTATCGACAAGAGCTGCAGATTACAAACAATTGAAACTAAGGAAAGTTCTACATAAAGATACCCCTTAGCAGCGAGCGCTCTATTATGGTGACAAAATTGTTAACTAGTTAACTATCTACGTCTTACAAATTCAATCTTATAACTGGAAGCATGACATAGGAGAAAAAGATGTGCATATTCAGGGAAAAGATCATCTAAAATTTGCTGCTAGAGAACAGTACTTAAAAATCTCTTGACACGTCTGAAAAGCTAGTCAGATCCATGCTGCTACCGTTCGTCTGTTATGGAGGAGACTCATTGGAAGTGAGACGCATAATAATCAAATCAAACTGGCATAGAAGTCATTTGAACTTTTTCAAGCTTTTTCAAGCAGGGCTCCACAAATGGGTGTACGGATGGGTGTACATTCGAAACTCCCGTGGTTGATTACATGTCCACACATATGCAGTTATTTCAACCCGCGTACAGCATCGTTCCTCTGAAAAAATGATTTGAATCTGCTACATGATTTTCACAATAAATATACTTTAAACGCATCTCATTGCAATCTTATTTTGATTGCATATGGCAGCCCCTCTTCCCCCTACCCTCAAATAAAGTATCGTGTATACTTTCGAAAATTGTCTGCGTTTGGCAAATATATATTGAGTAACATTATGATATGTAAAATAAACACCCAAGACTCCCATTTTCGCCCCTCTATAATGTCCCTCTCGCTACAGCCTTCCAATTTTCAATAGATATGTTTTCCTTACAATATTGCAGCTTGTATAAAAAGTTTGGATTGTACATTTTCAAAGCCAAGAGTCAAACAAAGCTAACGAAAAGGAGCAATTTGATCTTACCAGCTCCTCTGGCAGCAACCTTGGCTTCCATTTCCACTTGCATTTCCTCTTTACACCTGTGAGCTAATTCCAGGTCCGACTCAGCTTGAGCAAGCTTTTCTGTGAGCTGAAAGTCACAGATAAAATACACAAATTCAAAACGGGAACCCTAGGAAAGCCCTAATATATTGTACATATTGATATTAACAGAAAATGTTGTTAGAATCAAGGGTGTTACTCAGAGGGCAATTCTTGTCACTTTGTGAACCACCTCACTGTAATATCATCACTTTAGCCTCAATAGCATTGACTGACTGCCAACTGCCATTAAAATAGAAAGGCTTTCTTCTGCTAGTTTATCACCAGCTAGAAATCTCTGTTGGTGATGCCCAAAGAGCTTGTAGCCTAGAAAACAACTTTTACAGTTTTGCTAAAATCACCTTAACTAAATTCGTTTTTACCCCTAGCCAATTGTATGATTTTATTAAAACAACTTTTGACTACCAAAAAAGCTTAACCTTATTTTCATTACTTACTGATCTGTTTAATGTTCTTGCTGCCTTTAACTCCTCAACTAAACTTGACATATTGACATCATTTAAGTCCAAATGACTGTCGAATAGTTGGGATGGGGACTTTGCAGGTGATATTGACCTGCTCAGCCTGTCTCTCATTGTTCCCATTCGGGACATGGTCACTGTTTGCGTCTTACAAAAAGCTGCTTGCTTTCTTAAACCAAGCCTACAAATAAGTAGAGAAAAAGAATTACTACAGAAAGTACAGTGCAAGTTGTAGGATGTGCAAGCAACTCAACTGAAAAATTTATGAAAAATAGCTGACATAAAAAATCTATCCATATCTAAAAAAGGTAAAGAAACTTAACTTTCTGGGAGTGACAAACCTCAAAGGAATGGCTTCCTGAATTCTGATTTTAAATCTTCACCGGCTGTCTATTTAGTATGTAATTATGCAACGAAGAAAGAGTATGCACATTGCAACTTGGCTTACTCATAAAAATCTTATTTCATTTAGAAAATGAAATGTGAAAAAGAAATAGGTCAAACACAATACCACAACTCCTTCCTCTCTGTCTGCATAAAGAATGCAGCCTGTCTATATGTGAATGTGTTAATAATTTCATTAAGTGCTAAGTATACATGTCAGGGTTCAAGCATGCAAGCCTGATTGATTTGGATAATACATACCTATCTGTAACAAACAAACAACCCAACATGTATATCAATTTCATGCAACCTTACTGCTGTTAAGTAGTAAAAGTTGTGAAAAGTTGACAGTTGTAAAAAGTTGCTTTATTTAAGTTGACAGTTGTAAAAAGAAAGTTGAATTCAACACAATAATTAAGTGGGGAAAAGATCAAGAACTACAAGATATCAAGCAAGCTATATGGTTATTAAAGGCATTCCCAAACACAATGATGAAAGTAAATTGTACCAGAATTTTTTTTTTAAATATGAATCAAAAAGACACAAGCTACTGCTCAACTGAGAAGGTCCATAATAGAAGAATAAAAAAGATATGAACAGGCAAAGTTTATAAAGACTCAAGCTACACAACATAACTCTGTGTTGGCACCTTTTAGCAAAATCACATATCAAGTTCTGAAGACCATCCCATTTGATTTATTAGTTTGAAAAACAACAATATTTGTGTGGCTCCTTGATAGGCTGTAGCTATTGTGACCAATATCACCCTCACCCTAAGACTTTTAGCAGCGGAATAATAAACAGCTCTCCTAGTAAATTCCAGGTGAACTTTTCATGTATATATATATTAAATATAAATAAGTGAAACATTGTTTTCAAGAAGGGCAACTTGCTTTTTTTTAAAAGGTTAAGAATGCAATCAGCATCTCCCCTCAATCATTTGAGGGTAGCCTAGAGGGGAGCAAGCGCTATGGCTCTCCTCAAATGACCAGGCCTGCAAAATGGTTCTGATATATTGCTTTTTGTAATGAGCTTTGATGTTAATGTTAGGAGCCATGATAATTTTCACAATGATAGAGAGAATCATTGGAATATAGAGAATACAAAATGTTAAATTTTAAAGATTAAATGTTAATGTAAACTTTTCTGTATTGGGATCAGATGAATTCAAACAGAAGTGTTTGTAAGAAATGCAGATGATATATTGAGAAGTAATTGTTACAGAGGCGAGGTAATTCGGTTCAATGATTGTTTGGAAATTTAATTAGGGTTACAAAGTGTAATGTTGGTAGATAAACCTTCAAGGGTGATCAGCCCCTTGAAAGGCACACATGAATTGGTTTTCTTTGGAAAAACTTATGCCCAATGATGAAAGACCCGGTATCGACAAATAAAATTGCTTCTTATTTCTAATTTGTCTATGGAAAATTTTGAGACCACGAGCAAACTACAGCTTAAGTGAAGCCTATATAGGACTAACCAACACACTATATCTAGTCACATTAAAGACAACCATGCTCTCAAATCTCTTGATACATGGGAACAGACTAAACAATTCAAGCTGCACAGACTAAAAGAAACTTTCATAATGGAAAATCTCATTATTATTAACTTCTATGTTGATGTAACTGTCTGGTCTACTTTCCTATTTTCTACATAAACAAATTGTCAGTCTTTCTGCTTGACAGAATCTTTGAGAAGTTCTATTCCTATAAATTTTCTTTAAATTTATTACTTCAAGTCTATATTTAACTCGTTGCACACTTTTGACCCTCTGTGTGGTTGTAATAACATATCTTTCAGGGTGGATTCCATGTAAAGCTCACACCTGATATATGCCAATAAACAATAGAAAAACAACAGGAAATCTTAATTTCATGCCAGATATCTCCAGCATAAACTACATGGATTCCACACTGGCATATCTTGTTCTTGAAAAAAATTCAAATAATAATAACAGACATTGATAGAAATTGGTATTTTATCTTAATCATCTTTTTCAAGCAATTATTCTTCTTTTTGACTGCTTGTTGGTAAACTGGTTAATGAGTTTTCCTACATATAAATCTTGTACATTGCTGTCCAACTGTGGCTGACAGATGCAATTGAGAATGTACGTTAACAGAAGTTTATGGATGTTTACAGAAGAAATATATTTGGGAGGATCATCCAGTTTCAGGGGCATCATGGCCGGGGAGCAGAGGGGAGGCTGTGGCTCCCTCCGCTCTCAAAATTTGATGGATTTTCAGAAAAATCATTGTTTTGTCGGAAAATTCTCAAACTTGAGCTGTGGGTAATTCTCAAACTCTTGGCAACATAAATCACTTGGACTAAAGTACTTACCTTAAATTCCAGAGGAAATTCACTTTTGTAAAGAAAATACTGGATTTACGAAAAACAAAATGATTTCTCAGGATTTACCGATTCCTACCATAGAATGATTTCTATTCAGATTTTGTCAGTTAAAATCTGAAACTTAAAGGGCCAAATTTGGTTATGGAAATTGGTCAAAATTGGTATAAATTATATCTTTATTTGATATTGAAGATAGGGACAGTACCAATTTTGTGTGTATCACCAGATTTTTGAAAATTTTGTCCCAGATTTGAAAATTTATGTAGTTATGTTGCGAATGGTAAAACAAGGTAGAAGTCGATCAAAACCATTGATGCCACCAGTGGATATTCAATTTAAGAACAAGATTTTATCATTAAAATTTGCTTCAAATTTGCTTCAACGAATTTGAAGCATTAGATCATAAAAAATTTTTCCCTTGTTTTAAGTAACTTCAATCTACCCTTGTCCTAATAGGGATGGCAGGGGCATTCACTGTAACTTATTAAAAAACAGAGACAAGATAAAAAGTGCATTTTAAATTTTTAAGTTATTAGTTTTTCTGCCCCACCCCCCTTTACACTTACATGAAATGCTTCTATTTCAAATAAATCAAATAAATTTTGTCGGAAAATTTTTCTTTCTGCCCCCCTCTAGAATTCATTCGCCACGACGCCCCTGTCCAGTTTTTACCAGATTTGACAATCTTCGTTATTATATGTGCTGGCTAAACCTAGAATAGGTAGCTCTGGAGGCGTTCTTATAAATAAACACTCGCAAGTGGCTTACCAACGTAGCTTGGTAACCGGCAGCGAACACAACCGAATCAAAATGTCTCATCAGAATATTTTCAGTACAGCCAAAAAACTTTAAAGGAAGTTATTTCACAAGTTTCACATTCATTTCGCTCCGAGTATTTGCTTGAAAGTGGCAAAAAAGACCTCTTGTTGATAATAGGCTTGTGGATTAGACTTAGGCCAAATTTGATCAAATGATTGACCAACTGACATACTTGCAGATCATTCACGACACAAAAGGCAACAATCCAGTCTACCTAGAGGACTTCGACTGAATCATGTGTTAGGAGAACGAAATGAACAGTAAAGAGTTTAACCTGTTATGGTTACTCCGGTCTTTGCTTTATGCCCGTTTATCACAACACTGACGCCATCGACCATCTTGAAGTGAAGCACTGGATTCTAATCACGGTATGTCATCACTTAAACGAACCAATCAGAGTCAAGGATCCACCTTGTAGATTCTGGGCATCTAACTGACGGGCACATCTGGATGGGTAAGTTGGGGTCAAAAATCACCACCCCTGTTTAATAAACTACTAATTCAGATGACAATCAAAGCAGAAAGTTGTCCAATCAACAAGTATATATTAACATACAGCACAAACTGGAATCTATTCAGCTAATAAAATAAATTTGATTTTTGAGATCATAAAGATGTTGAATTCATCAAAAGAGATTGAAGAACAAATTGGTTGAAGAACAAGGCAATATATTTCGATGTGTTATCGACATTGTGCTGTTTCTTTCAATGCAATCATTCCATATCCCTAATGAGTTTTTATTAACAGATATAGTGAAACAACCTCATTAATATTTAAATAGGGTTGCTGTTTGTGGTTCCCTGCTTCTAAATTCAAGGAGTCGTTAAACAATAAAAACAACTTAATTTTGCTATTGCGAAACCTTAATTGTAAAACTACAACTGGAATTCAAAATTGTTTTTCAACAAAACTGCAAATCTTAACAAAAATCCAGATGAAAACGAAGGAATATGCTTTTCCCTACCAATCTAATAAGGCAAATCTTTTACAAAACGAGCACTTTGAGAAAAAACCCGTTGATTCAAGAAAACACAAAAACACAAAAAAAACACAATGTAGGTTTTCTTTGAAATTTTATCATTTTTACTCGTTGGACTAACATTCGCTCAATTGATAAAAGTGGCTACCTATTCCATATCATTTTATAATCATATTGAATACAAAACTAGATTGGATGACTAGTATACTACAAGAGTACATGGAAAAAAACAAAGAAGATGAAAAACCCCAATATAAACAGCTTTGATTTCATATAACTTTTCTTCACCTATTAAAATTTTAAACATTCTTCGAAATACTACAGCTTACCGTAATAATTCGATGTAGCCCACTATTTTGACAGTGGAGGACTGATTCTTGCCATCATTTCAACTGGCGAAGATTTCTAAACAATGCCAACAATATTTCTATCCAATTTACTGCCGTCCAGTGAGTTCTGAAGGCTATTACATGGACTATTGTAATAAATGATGGATTAAAATAGGCATCAGACAACATTATACAGGTATAACTTCACTTAAAATGTAGAAAGCTTCAGATCAAACTCAGTTCGGCCTGTTGCTTCTGTTATCCAGAATTTTACGTCAGTTTTTCCATAAACAAGGCATCACAAAGGCTCAAAATGCTTCTCATCAATTTTCTGAAATTTTTCTATACAGCTTTGGATCCAGTCCTCTGTAACGATATGTGGCTTTTTAGTCATATTTCTGATTCTCTGTCTAAATACGGGCAGCCTTGAAAGATCGCTAAAACAAAAAAGAAAATGACATATAAAAATGATGATAATTCAGTAATTAAATCATGATCATGAACTGCTGATTTGTTTATGGTTAGAAAATATGATCTAAGTAGGTTAATTCTTGGACTTGTTATCGGCTGTCAAACCAGCAAGGTAACTCTGTGACTGATCATATACTAACTTCAGATTTCACCTCATTTCGTAGGCTGCCGATTCAAGCATTTTACTGCTTAACTTTGAGGTAAAGCCGGAGTAGCAGCAACAACAACAACAAATTTCCTTTTTACACTTGCAACAAGCGAGAAAACTGAGCGACTCACCTTTTTCTTACAATGACGTGTGTAGTCCCTGGACTAAATTGATTCATCACGTCTCCTCCATGGAAGCGAAGGTCTAGTGCAGAGATCGATTATCTCCCTATAAGACGAAGTATTTGTCATCTTAAAAGGAGAAGAATTTAAAGTGATTCTATCAGAAGGTGTGTGTCGACTTAAATTGTCAATAAGAGAGACAGAAGATCTGCCAGGAGGTAGATGACTACAATGATGAAGCAACCAGTCATGTTTACATTCGTGTAATGCTTGGTCATCTGATACTGAATGCACATCTTTTTAAGTGCTTTTTATCTTCTTTTTATGCAAACAGAACCGGAGAGTCTGCTTCAAAGCTACTTTGATGAGATGTCAGCTATAGCATAGTCATTCAAAACGATGGTAGCAGTATAGGACTTCAAATCTCAGGATTCACCGTTCGAGTCTTTGCACTGACAAACTTGGAGTAGAGGGGGTCGCCGTTTCTTTGTCAGTCAAGGCTTAAAAGTCTGAAAGTGGTGTGAACGGGCGGAGTAGTCACAATGGATGGGAGAATCAAAAGACAGGTGGACATTGCAAAACCTACCTCTAGATGCAGTCTATGAGACAAATAGCACCTAACAATAGCCAGTCAGTAATGATTTGAAGACAATTGCTGTTTTAATAATGGTGCAAGCAGTATTTGAAACAAGAATGCAAGCCGTCGGACGGGCGCTCGAGCAAGCAAGCAAGCAAACAATCAAAAAAGTGTGCGGACAAGCAAAAAAGTGGGCTGACAAGCAAAAAATTGGGCTGACAAGCAAAAAATTGGGCTGACAAGCAAAAAAGTGGGCTGACAAGCAAAAAAGTGGGCTGACAAGCAAAAAAGTGGGCTGACAAGCAAAAAATTGGGCTGACAAGCAAAAAAGTGTGCGGACAAGCAAAAAAGTGGGCTGACAAGCAAAAAATTGGGCTGACAAGCAAAAAAGTGGGCTGACAAACGAGCAAACGAAAAAAATTCTCACTTCATTTGGACAATCAGGATCTGCCCATTTATCGAAAAATGATCTACAATAGAAGAAAGGAAAACTCAACAAGAGGCCAATTTTACAAACAATATTTTCTTGATGCAATAAAATTTGGAAATTCCAGCGCCAAGCATCAAAAATAGAACATTCAAAGATAGGATTTAAGGCTGCAAAACTAAAATAAGATTAGATCGAAAGGCCATGACGAAGCTTACCTGCATCCACGAAATATGCCGTAAGGGGAATCGTTGGGGAAATAACGGAACTCGATTTCTGCTACTTCTTCAGCTGTTGAACGGACCCTGTCCTAAAGTATAATAAAGGTTGATGAATTAAAACATTTGACTACCTTAGTTCATTTTTTTCAATAAAGAAGAAATTATTCCCTCATTAAAGATTCCAAATGCTTGTAAATTCCTGCCATGGCTTGAAAATTGCCTCTTGACGGTCCTCTATCTTTTCAAATGTTTGTTTTTTAAGAATAATCCATAGCAGAAAAACGAAAACATACAATTTACCTTTTACAATTTTAAGAAATCTGCTACTATCTACTGGGTGTCCTTCTTTCGTTCTACAAATTTTCCAACTGATACGTAAAAATGAAGCCATGCACAATGCTATATGATATTGAAAGATTTGCTGTTTCTAGGAAAAACTTTCTCAAGAACGTTACATTGCAGAAAACATACCTTGCTTTCCATGTTTCTAAATATTTCTTGCAAATTTTTAGCATCAATCTCTTTCGTGTAACTATCTCCAAATTCGTCATATTCAAGAGAGAATATTTTCTTTGTCTTTTCAGAAGTAAAAATCATTTCATTAGGTTTGTACGCCAGAACTTTGCCTTTATTCTGTGAAAAGAGTTTTAATCGTTCATATATATACATTATTTTTACAAACTTTTGATATAAATCAACCGATGCAATAGTTGTGTTAAAATATCGTAGATCGCTTGCAATTGCTATACAGAAAATTCCCGGAGCATTTATCAATCGATTCTACAACATGTACAAAAAATATTTGTCTTGACGACAAACAACTTACAAGACACGCGACCAGCCAGGAAACAGAGACAACGTCGTGCCTTCCTAAGCTGAAAATAGAAAAGAGCATCATTTGAATGATTTGAATAATTTTAATGCTGAAACGGTGATTCTGTTTAAAAGAATATCGCATATTCAGCAAAGTTACTACACAGCAAAAGACACGATGCCTCCACGTCTGCATTTTTCAAGATACAGAATCGTGCATTGAGATTGAAGAAGATTTAATTGTGAGACTTGCAATGAAACAAACTGTAACTGTAACGCTTCTTCATACATCAAAGACGTTGGATGGCGGAAATGTATGAAAGAAACATGTACAGCCAAACCGTTATCCGAAGTTACACCAAAGACAACAAGCAAAGACAATATCATAGTACCTGATTATATTTTTAACACGCACGTTGACTTTTTCAGCTATGACGCAGTTAGTGTCCTTGCCTGCATTCTGAACAAATTTTCCACCATGCTTAAAAAACAAACAGATCTTTCAACCTTAAAGCGTAAGAAAACTAAGCTAACATTTATACTTCAACACAAAGTGAGCACAAAATGCAGTTATATCAGGCATTAAAAGGGCTTTTCGATGAATAAATTTTTCTATGTTAACGAAAATTTCAGGCTGGAAAAACAACCGGATGAAGTAGTTCGAAAAAGAGCCTCGTTATAGAGCAGTGAGAGCGCTGATGAGATCAGAAAGAGCTGATTTTTATCATGCTTGTTTCATGTGCTCCACAGTTCTCGAATCCTGAATGCGTCTTAATCATCTCAAATCGTTGGCTATAAATAGAAACGAGCCAGACAATCAGCAAATGCAGTTACCAACAATAAGGGATATTTGAAACGTAACAAAACGATAAGATACCAAGAACACACCAGAGCGATGGCAGGTGCAACAGGTTGACTGCCTGAACGTAATCTGATAAAAATGCAACACAACCATGCTGCATTGTAACCACAGACGAGGCCTCAACTTGCTCAGTCAAAACATAAAAGTACTGTTCCAATTATCATCATTAAACAATTTAAAACAATTGGCTCACAGGTATTTGGAGACAGTTCATTTTCATGGGGAGGACAAGCAAAATCAAGGTTTTAAAGAAACAAAGCCATAATACTTCGCATTTTACGACTGAAGCAGATTCCTGGACAAAGGCTAGCTCAACTAAATAAGGCTATTGATATTAAAATACTGTTTTTCGATTTCGTCACCCACCTCTGCTATTCTTTTTTCCAAATCATGTTTACTATGCTCTGATGATCCATTCATCACACAAAATTCGTGGTCTTCGAAAAGATTTGAGACCTAGAAAATTGATAAAAGTTATTTAAAATTAAATTATAAGAAAAATTATAAGACATGTTTTCACACACAGAAACATTCCCGCGGGTAATGCAAGCCAATCCTGGCCCTGCTTCAGTTTATCAAATAAGCTTTCCTCTTTTGGGAGACCGTTTTAAAATAGAATCCCCCAGCTAATTAAAGGTACTAAAATATGCCAATATAATGCCAATGCTGAAAAAATCGATGCTGTAAATTGCACTCTCCAGCCAAAAACGTAGCCATCAAGATCTTATTGGGGACGCAGGCCCTTAGCTGTGACATATAGATTCCTTTCTGGGAACTTGTTATATGAAGGAAAACAAACAGCCAGATTTAAGTATTGCGCTAAAAAGTTCCACAGAAAATATGTTTTCGTATCTTTGCAATATCTGAATATAATAGGTTTTGGTTTCTCTGAAGCATCAACCTAGATCTTGACAAGAAAGCGCCAATTAAACAAAATTTCGAGGAAAGATGTTTTACAGGTGACCCTAGGGTTCCAGAAGACAGAAATGTGATAAACCTAAAAAAGTGATCATGTCATCTTAAATCAGCTCAATTTATAGATTTCGTTGGAACAGTAATTGCATTGTAGTGAGATCAGTGTTTTTGGAAACTCTGAAAGCTATCTTTACACTTTTTGAAGCTCTGGTTCTTTCCCCGAATGATTATCAAAATAAAGCCTAAAATCAATAAAAAAGACAGATTGGAGACGTAGTGTAGTACGAAACGCCAATGGGAGTGTAACACAAATCAAGCAAGATTCGCTGTCGAATTACATTTTTATCTGGAATCGTTAAAAAGGCACTTTCCAGAATTCTAAAATAGGAGGGCATAAACATTTATTTCAGGACAGTCCTTAGGTTCTCAACAGTAAAGAAACTCTTTGAAAGAAATGGTAACGTATTGTGTTCAAACTGGGGTTGCTTGTATCAAGGTAGACCAGTGTGCATAATTATTTGACTTGCAGACACCTATCACCTCTTTTATTGAGCTCACGTCAGCTCCCTTGAAATGCCCAGCTATCCTCCTTGGTTGCTCTAATTTGGTAACAGTTCTTTTCTTCTTTTTAACTGGTTCTTCTGTACCATCGTCAGTAACTTGTTTATTTGTTAGATATCCTCCAGAAATCTACAGAGACAATCAGCATGATTTTAATTCATTGGAAAAACCAAACAAACAGACGACACTGCCATTGCTAAAATAGTATAGAGAAGTGATAAACAAATAACCTTGCATCATTGATCAAGAATTGATACAATCGACAAGATAATTTCTTCGAGTAAATAAAATGCAGAAACGTCTATTTGGCATGAACCAAAATTCATCATTTTAAACCTTCCACGAACATGTTTGCTGTAGAAGACAATCTTAAAACATTGAACGATAGCAAATCATTAAAATAATTCTTTCAAAATGAATAAAACATTCTTGACTGACCTCCCTCAGTCTACTCAACTCATCCAAATCCATGCAATCGTACCAATGCTTGTCATCGCGAATTGTATCGACACGTGGAAACCTCAGGGTGCATTTGCATTTGTACTTTTCACTCTCTGTTATTTCCGCAGCCTTTAGTTGTACGATTTTAGACTTCGAAGGCTCTATCCAAACATCGGGTTTTTCCTTAAATTCAAAATGATTGGACTTCATTCCATACATTATCTTTACAAAAATTGTATTGAGATATGGTATTACCTATAGGGCTCTAGTTGACTTTAAAGCTTTATAACCCTATATATTTATTTAGCAGGCCATACATACCATTCAAATATATACTATCAAAAGCTCGAGCTCCAAGTGTAATAAAAATAACTTATAAAATCACATTCAGATGATATGCCTCACACAAACAAATATTTTTATAAAATCATGCGCATGTTGGCGGTATTCAAAGTCATAGAGAGTGGAACGAGGGAGAGGTGTATAGGACTTCGTTCTTCACTTATGCATGGATATGGATAAACATCTAATTACCTTTAATGTAAAATACATAGAACAATCTTAAATCAAATGTGAACGAATAGAATATTCCTTAAAGAGAACTATTACCTTCAATCCTGGAGCAAAAATGATGCTGCTGGGAGGCATTTTAGGGTCGAAAGTCTTCCAATGAGGCTCAAGGGCATCACACAGCTCTTTGAGCTCCTTCAAACTGTATCCTGACCCAACCTAAAAGTAAAGCTCACTGCCATCATGTCTACATCATAACAATCGGCCTAGCATTAGACTATGCAAAAATTTAAACGATAATAGAAAATTTTGTGTTGATAATAAATCGAATGAAATAGCATTTCTGATTTCATATTTAGGTAATAGCTAGAAAACTGTGGGCAAAACAGAGACATTTGAGAAAGGTGTACCTTACAAAATGAGTGGAACACTGATGGATATTCATTTGGTTGCTGCGGAGGAACAGCTATAGCACACAGGAAATGGGAAACCATTCCACCACGACGCTAAGATCAAATTGAAGTGATTGTCAACTGTATCGAGAATGAGATCACCAAAGACGCCGTCAATATAACACTAAAGACGTCATCAATGATGTCATCAAAGATGGCTTCAATCGCGGCACCAAATACGTCATCAGTTGTAACACTTTAGTGTAACGAGAATTGCGCATTGTTGTGTTATTCGTTGATGCCGTTCGTTAACTATCAAATCCATCCATCGATTACGTTTCATTTCCAAACCCAGCGAGTCTTATTTTACGTGCAGAGAACACGAAGCCAGTGAGAGAGACCAGGCACGGCAGAGCAGGGGGGGGGGCTTTAGCCCCACTTTTTGCAAAAAATGCCAAATATTAAGTATCAAACTACCAGAAAAGCCTCTTTTTATACGGTTTTAGCCCCCCAACTTTTTTTAGACCCCCCACTTTTCTCAACGCTCCGCGGTGCCTGAGAGAGACAGTATGTTGCCTGAATAGCTTTGATCTGAACTGAACTAAGATTGCTTATAAATTAACATACTTTAATATACAAAAACGAATATCTAAAATTAACACGAACAAAAGATAGGAAGAGCGAGTAAAGGTGGTGAGTAAATTAAATAGCATGGCAAAGATCAAGTAAACAATAGGGATTAGCAAATGTTTCATATGAGAGTGACGTAGAAGATGCCTGTGCTGCAATGTGAGAATGTGATGGAATTAATGGGAAGGAAAAATTAATATAAACAGGCTTAAGTTGAGTCACTACATCACAAAAGACGTCATCAATGGTGGCATTTAAATACGCCATTAATGATGTCATCAAAGGCGTCCTCAACGGTGTCACCAAAGACGTCATCAGTGGTGTCATTAACGATGCCAGCAACGATGTCAAAAGAAAATGTATCCATCATATAACTATGTCATCATTAACGATGTCATCAGTGACTCACAGTTACGATACTTAGTGATGTCAACAATGTCGCCATCAATAATGTCTTCAACTAACATAAAAAGCTGCGCCACTAAAATGGCACAAATGTGGTACAACTGCAGCTTGCACGAAGAGACAATGCCAAAATGATGGTAATTCAACTGACAGATATCAAATTATGATTTTTTCCTAAAAAGAGACAGCCTAGAAGATAAACCCACTCACCCCAACTCCATAGTAACCACCGACTATCAGCACATCCAACTAAAACAGAAATTTTAGGCTTAACAGTTAGAATGCACCAGAAACTCCGCAGATTAGCTCACTAAATTTAATAATAGAGGACATCTTTAATAAATATCCCCTTTCCTTCCATCCATAATACATATTTCACAGCTTTCTTTTTTAGGAAAACCTTCCTCCTCTACCGAGGTTTTGACGAACCCCATTGCAGAATTTGACAAGTTCAATATCACAACATTGATGTAGGATATAGTGGTAACCATTTCAAGTACTTTCATCACATCTACTACTTCCTCAAATCACATCTTATACTTCATACTAGATTCAACTGAAGGCCTTTTTTAAAATATAATTTGATTACCAAAATACTACAAAATATACTTAGAAAATAACAAAATTTCTTTTAAAAGAAAGGGGTGCCTGGAAAACGTGAATATTTTTAAGACAGCATACATGTCACCAAAGGCCATAAACTCAAACGCAAAACTCCCTGATTTATTAGACTCAAAACTCCATGAAAAGACTCAATTGGGGTGATAAGCCATGTCCAAAGGTGAAAATCTGTACCTGATCACTTAATGAATCGATGTAGTCTGGTTTGATTTTCAGCCAACCACTTCCTACGATAAATTATGGAATCTTCGAGTAATTAAGTCTGAAAGGTGGTTATCTTCTTTTATCCTAGTGAGAATTCTTGCTATGAACGATATTCTAAGTTTTTAAGAAATTCAATTTAGTCTCGGATATGCTGCAAAAATACTTCAAAACAGATGATATATTCTTTTCCTTGAACAAAACCAGCAAACAAATAGTTTGACATTTTCAAAAAGTTTGAGAACCACTTTCAAAAAGCAACTACCCATTAAAACTGGCACTCTGCAAAATGGCGAAAATTTTGAAATAACCCAAGAGTCAGCAACAAAATATTCATTATCATATAAAAATGCCTCACAAACGTTCTAACACAATCGGAGTCGTACAGCTTATAAAGGCATCGATTGACTCCATCAATGTTCAATTCGATAGACTTCCAAGTACTCATAAACATTTCTTAAATCAAGCATGTACAGCATACGGAAAAGTAGTTTCTTAATTTCTACCTTTTCTTTTACTCGGTTTATAGATAGATTCTGGATCCTTAATTACGATTCCTTCCTCTCTTTTATCGATTGCATCATTTAACGCATTAATAACTTCCTCTCTGCAAAACAAGTTAAGAAAATCGTCGCAGTTAAAAAATATGAGCATACCTGCAGACATTTATAAATTGAAAACACAACATATCAATGAAAAATATTACTTGCAATAGTGAATATTAATTGAGCATCAAAACAGACCCATACAAAGTTTGTCATGATCCATGCATCTAAATCAACCTCTGTATGGAGTAATGGAAAACTCTTTACAAACACGCAACGTCTAAGCTACGAAGCAACAAGGGCACATTTTGTTCTAGACCAATCAGCGGGTTTGTTTACAAATTGTCATTAGCCAATCACCGGCTTCCATTTCGAGCTTGATTTTTCAATATTTCAAATCAAAACACAGTTGCTGTGGAGCAAAACCTACCCTCATACTTTTGCCCGGGAAAAAAATTTACATTTTTCTACGAAGAAGATTTTTTAAACTTACATTCTAGAGTAATTTTTTGGTACGAATCTAGGAGCCCTAAGCAGGAACACAAACGGTTGGTAAAATGTCTGCAGTGAAACATCACCTATTTTCCACCTCGGCCCTACCGCCAAAAATGCCTGGCCCCTAATTTACTCTATATGAAGCTTTTGTTAATTAAACAAGGAAACATTTTAAGATTTTAGTTACCTGATAGTTTGCGCAAACAAATCACCCAGCTATCACCTGGGAATAATGTATTTTCTTAAAAAAACTAGGCTTTATAATTGCCTATTCCCTCCTCTACACTACCGCACGGGATGCCTAGGCCCTTTCCGAACCTCCCTCCTGGTCACCATAGTCCATGAAACTCAAACCACTTTTGTAATGGAATAATGGAGTAATGGAAAACTCTCTACAAACACGCAACGTCTAATCTACGAAGCTGGAAATCTACTCGAAATTAAATATGCACAACAAGTAGCAAGTCTTGATTCAACATCTTTATAAAATGGCTATTAAAAAAGAAAATTTGTTTTTATCTTGTGTAGTTGATACTGACTTTTTAGATGCTGTTTTTCTTTCGATGATTTGAAGTCTTCCTGGTACTGGCTTTATTATTCTAGTGATAAAACACGCAATAATTATGCAACTACGCCCCCTTACTTATAGGGAGTAAATAAATGGCCTAACTTTTAGAAAAATACATCAATGATGATCTGAATTTCATTGTCTACTATATTGTATATATTCAATAAAATTTTCCTCTAAACATGAAGAGAAGAATTTGATCGCATTTCTTTCCAACATCAATGCTAGATTTCGCAAGGTTCCAAATGTCACAATAGAAGACAATTTACCATAATCTCGTTCAGAAAGTCACTGATAACTTTTACACATCGCTGAAGGATCGGAAAGAGTCAATGAGGATTTCAAGTAGTCTGGTCACAATAACGTTTGGTGTTCGGGTACTAACAATAAAGTTATCTGATGTTAGATTCAGTTACATTTTCAAAGAAAACAAGATTAACTTGCCCTTTCAGTTTTTCCACCCTTTGTTGCAGAGGCAAGTTGGTAAGCTTCTCGTCGTTCAGCAATAAGATGTCAAAGACAACAAAGCACGGATGAACACCTTAAAAAGACGAAAAATGCTACGTATCAATTCTACAAAACACACCTTTGTGTTTTACATAAAGCACAGGAATTCGGTATGGCAGAAAATATAAATTCATGCCCCGTTTTTTTATCTATTGTAAAGCAATTTTGGAAAAAGAAGACCAATATACCAACATATAAGCAATCAGTAGGCATTAAAGCGTTACTGACCATCTAATACTTCAGCTTTGACATCTATGTTCCCGCCTTTTGGACTGAAATTGGTAAAAAAGAAGCATCAGAGCAACACGTCAGCACAAATAACATCAAAACTTCGTTAATTGCTTCAATTTTTCAAACCTAGACTAAATAAAAAAAGAGAAAACAAACGGAGAGTTGAAGATATAATTGTCATGTTATCATAGAAACACCTCAATATTGTTAGTAGTATCCTTTTCAACATGTTTTAGAAGCAAAATTGCAATTAACATTTATTCACCAGTAATAACAATGCTACTATAAAACAAGAACCCTGTTGCTGAGCCTCCAAACAAGGATATCCATACATTAAAGAAGTTAGCACGTAAATTACAGAGTTTAACTCATAGATTATAGCATCCAGTGGAATTCTAGTAACTTTGAAAAAGATAAGATTTGAGTTCAATTTACCGTGTCTACTTACATAAACAAACCAGAATTTGGATCATAAGCTGTCATTTCTCCATCCAATATCAACGTCTTTATGTTCCTTGGTAAAACAAAACAACTGTGTCTTAATTTCATTAGATTCAATTGTAGCGCTTTTATCCTAGACTCATCTAGATTCAGAAACGCAAGCTTTGAAATGCACAGCAATAAACTACGACCTCTTAGAACCTTCGTTATGAGAATAGGAAATACGAAAAGGTAAAATATTTTAGTCTTTCTATTTATTCATTTTATTTACGTTAGTTGTATGTGTTATCATAATTTGTTGCTGTTTCTCCGTTCTTTTACTTGAGGCACTGAAATGTTATGTCACGTAAGTTGCGAAAGTCGTGAGCATAATTTGGTGTCACTAAATGGGCAAAGAAAATTGCTGAAATATAAATATCAATTCAAGCCAGTTGCGTTAGGTTAATGTCGACCTTATTTCGCGGGGAGAACAATCCAAGAAAACTCAAGAAAACCCGATAAGTATTATGGTCTAAAGGTGTCATCCCCATAAGCTGTGAAAGCTTAAAGTTTTTCATCAATTTGATTGGTTAGTTTTACTGTACTAGATCTGGTCTCTTTCTTCAAAATAGATGGTTGTGCCAAAATGGCCCTTAATCTACTACAACAAAGCGAAACGATATGAAAGTAAACTAAGAAAAACAATTTAAAAAACCAATGCTACTAGAACCATCATTTGCTAAGAGCTAAAAAGGAGAAAAGCAATTGGTATGTAAGAAACTAAATAAACAACACAATTTTCAGCAAATAACTATATATTTGACGCTTTTTAAATGCATGGTGTACAATTTTCACTTCAATTTGAATTAGATCTCACTTGACTCCAAACCAATTCATTTTAAAGACATATTTTTTTCATAATAAGATAATTTTCGTCAACTTTTACCAACAGAATGATAGATGTGTACTGGAGTTTCCTTATGTGCTTTTTCTTAAATGTTAAATTTGATGGCCTCAATTTCAAAACAAAAGCTTCAATCCACTGACTTTTCCCACATTCTTCAAATTTAGTCAGTAATTGATATCATCGGGTTTGCAAACTGGCCTTGTTTTCATTATTGGAAATACAAACACCTATGAAATTATACAGAAAATTTAAATTGCTTCAAATAGATAAATGGCTTCTAACTATTTCAAAGCAGATGAGAAAAATAGAGCTCTATGTAGCAGAGAACGAGACAAGATTCAACACTAAAGAGCATAATTTGCTGATATTCATCTCACACGATATTTGACCTGCAGGCCTGGCAAAACAGTCTGAGGTCGAGATAAAAACTTAAAACAATTAACAGAAAATAAGTTGCCTTGAGACGAATGACTGAGCAGATAAAATAAATAAATGAATAGAATAATAAATAGATAAATAAAAGTTAATTGGGAATTTGAACTCGTCTAGGGAGAACCGGGAGTAGATACTGAGAGTAAAAAGACCAAATACTTACGAAGGAAAAGCAAAAGAGAGATGAGGCGTCAAAGTTCCCCGGAAGACTGTCTTCCCAAAAGATTCAGTGTAGTCGTGGCATCTAGGAGATCAGATACTACCATATACTGAAAACTGTTACCATATATCGAAAGACACATTTATCAGTACAAAGAGTCAAAATTGCAAGCATGTTGCAGCATTTCCACACAATTGTACATATACCGTAAAAGCTACAGAAAACTATTGCCTAGGTCTTGCTATACTGCCAAACTCAAAGTTTAATGCGATCACTGGAGAACTTTCCATATTTACATAGCTTACCGTATTATTTACAACCTAGTCAAGGTACCGAGATCTCTTACACTCAATTACCATTACTCTATTACTCTCAAAACCATTGTCTAATAAAATATTTATTTTATCAACACACCCTCTTGAGAAGTATCGATACTCATCTCCTTTCTTGTGCAGTTGAATCCTTTCTCCGTCAACTTTTGTTTCAATTAAGAAAGGCTTGTAGTTCATAATTTTTTCCACCTAAAACAAAAACCTAGATTTTATTATGGCAAAACTGGAAATATTATGCGACCCTACAGATGTTCAATGCATGATTGGAAAAACATAACAATACATTTCATAAATCTTTGCGCGTTTAGATTTTGAACGAGACAATTAGAATTAAAAAAACTCCTTTTTAATCATAAAGAAATGATACGTGAATTTCTGAACATTTTCAGATTAAAAGACTGACGATAAAGAATGTAGATTCCGTCCGGAACACGACCCAGTCAAGTGCTAACAACAGCAACTACAAAGAATATTGCTTAAGAACACTATGACACCTCTTGGAATGAAGATCTTTGACCAAGCATTGGCCTAAATGGAGAAAACAGCTCGATTTCCACTTCACTCAATGTAGAATTCGGGTCTCGTAAATCTGAACAGACCTATAAAAAGAAATTGATGATGTCATACAAAACTTGGTATGCAAAACAAAGTAATACTGTATTACTCAAACAGCAAATTAGGGCTCTTAAAAGCATGCATCAAAACAATATGCGAAAACAGAAGCTTCAACAAAACGACCGGTGAAAGATGGCCAGGATAGATTGTGTGGATTTAGCATGACGTTGGCTAAAATATATAAAAGGAACAAATGAATATTAGCCAAATTAAACCCAAACTAGCAAGGCAGCCTTAAAGTGAAATAATCAAACCTTTGATAAGCTGCTGCAGACATTAAACAGTTCTGCTGCATCAGGATGGAAGACAGAGAAAATCGAATTTTCGCTCAGACCGATTTTCAATTCCTGTGAACAAAGTGGAAAAGGCAAACAATTTATATTCAGATAAAATAATAGTGAGATGAGACTCAATTAAAGGCATTACAAATGCCAAGGTGAAACCTAGTGTGTCATTGGATTTAATGTCAGAAATATTTGGGCTTTATACACTACTTCCATTTCATTACAGTGACATTGTTTCTGTCAGAAGATTAATTAAGCATCAATTTATGGAATTTGCGTACTTTGCCTGTTGAAACAGAATTTGCTTATTTTACACATAGCGCGGCATATTCGGCGAAATACACTGCAAGAGACATTTATTCAAATAACAATTCTGAAACTTAACAAGCGCTATTACAAAAAATTATTTTCATTAAGAACGAAAGTAGTGCAAAGCTGCCGGCATTTCAACGCCATCTCTACACTCCCTTCTGACTGACGCAGTAATTACATGTAAACTAGCCCCAATGGCTCTAAAACCCCATACGATAGAATAAAAGAAGGTACGATAAAAAAGAGGCTATCGTTTGCATTGTATTTCAAGTCTTTCTAAAAGACTTAATGATACAATTTAAACCAAAGGCAAGCCTTTAGGAAATGAAAGGGCATTCGTTCCTACTAAAGTAAATGTTTTTGGACGTGATGTTTTCTACCTCGTGCGATAGTGTTAAAAATTGTGTCAAGACCCAGCAATAACCTTTTCTAAAAAAACAGTTTGTTAAGACATTTATATTTCTAATATAAAAACATACAGAAACATACGTACTTTAAGAATCATTCTGATCAGCCATTTCTGCAAAAAGAACAGATGAAACAGCACTATAAGCATACACTTTTGGCCAAATCTTTTTATTTTGTAAAACATATACTTTAGGATTTGAAACTACCATGGATTGGTAACACTTCCTTGCGATTCGAGAGTCAGATTAGGCAAGCCATCACAAAATGTTTCTTTGCTGTCAGTCCTCGTATTTTTACAGCACTACGAAAGCCCTTCCATCCATTCAAAAGGATTGCGTTCCTACCAACCAAAAAAGTTTCGTTATTTATGAATTTACTTGCCAGTGTGATTCTGGCTACGTAGGACGCACAACCCAAAGGTTGGGGGATAGGATAAAACAGCATGTTCCTTCCAACATGAGAAACAAAACTGTCCCTCGAAGAGAACAGCCTCCTCGATCTTGTAGGTCTAGAAACACTGTTAAAACAAGTGATTCTGCCATCGGTCAACATCTTTTAGACAACCCAGATTGTGATCTTTCTTTAGGCACGCGGCACTGATTGGTCAACTATACCGGTCTTGTGCTTGCGTTTTTCTGATTGGCCTATTTCGATCCACAACTAGGTATATATTTTTCATTGTGTTCTTTGGGACCCTTATTCTGACGTTTTATGCTCTGAGGAGTGTCAGACGAGAAAGCTTTTAACCAATATGTTGTAAAATGTTTGCTTTTTTCAAAGCCAATATACTTAAGGATTGTTAGATTTGCATATGATTAAATCCCAAAGGAAGTATTTTCCAAAGTCCCGAGAATTGGTCAAATAGGAAAAAAATTAAATTACAGTTCACAAGTTATTTAAATTTCAATCATAAACCTGTTCTATAGCACTGGTGTTTCTTATCAGCTTGCAAATCTGAGCTTTTAGTACGTCACGCTTTTTCTCCACATTAGCTAAAGCCATTGCATCAAGGCAGGCATTGACATCAGAAACTGTGAGGCTGCCAAAAGGAAGAAGCAATGAAGTGTTAATTAGCTACACTCTTCATAAGGATTTTAGCAAAAACAATTTTTTCACCGAATGCTTAAAATCAAATGCAAATATATTCACAAACACGCTAAGTAATAAACAAATTCAACCAATGCAGAAAAAATTAATGGCATTAAGTCAGATACGATTTACAACATATTAGATTCAGAAAACAAATTTTGGATTCAATAAAATAACGAATAAAAGTCAGCAAAAACTAACAATAATCAAATGTCTAAAGTGTAAACAGAATAAACCTCTGCCTGGAGACACATGCGTCTGTATGCTTTTGTACCTAAGTAGATTCTTTTTCAACCATTCTACAGGCATGGTCATTTCAAAAAATTAACAGAAATATGAACATTTTTTAAAGTTGAAATAATATCTACAGGCATTGGGTTGAAACTCGTGAAACTCATCTCATGAGTTTCATGTTTGAGTGGCCTATTCTTTTTCCTTTCATATGCAAAAAAAGTCTGTTTTTCGAGAAAAACTTTTAAACCAACATAAAGCCGCGTCTTGACAACTCACATGGACTCGTTCTTACATGAATGACATCATAATTTAAATTTATCTACCCAAGCAAATCTTCACGAGTGAACCAATGTGTTGCAGGCACATTATACGCAGGATTCTAGTAAGGGATTAGATTGATAACATCATATGCTATCTATCAATTGCTTAAGTTTTCATATGATTAAATATATTTTAATTGGTCACAGACCTGCCATGTTGTGGGCACCTGTCTTTCAAGACAAGATATGCAACGGATGCAAAGTCACCAGCAATCTAAGATAAAGAAATGGGTATATTATCAAAAATGGTAAATAGGTAAAAATGTTAGCCCGGTCTTGCAAGAGAACTTCTGCTGCTTAAACCCCAACAATTTTAAGAAAATATACCTTCATTCAAATAATAAAATTCAACTATGAACATGTGAGTTGTGAAAAATTGATGTTTTATTTAGGAAGAACCGACATACATGTCTTGCAGACGATGGTGCTCTATAATTCAACAATTTCTTTGCATCATCACTCTCTTTTGCGATGTTCAAAACATCTATATAATACTTTGCCAAAACAACCTAAAATTGATAAAAACAAAATCTATTGCTAGTTAAATACATAAGAAGTGACTGAATCACTTAACGAGCATTTGTGCCAAAATCATTACTATAAAAATGTTAATGCTCTCAGCCGGTATAAAAAGACAGAATATCACATATATCAATCATATTTAGATGGAAAGTAGGCATTGCCACCAGCTTTCTTGTTCAGTTATGTATTCCTCTAAGGGGATAGATTATACTTTCACAAAGGGGACCAGTTTTGTCTTGAAGACAAAATAATACTTGATTAGATGACATAGGTATTAAACAAACCAGTCCACGACAATGACAAATGAAGCATTATTCTCCAGAAAAAGTGCCCCCAATGACCCTTTTTCAAATCAATGACAAGGGGGGTTGTTCCCCCTTTTTGCAGTAATTCATAATATGGTTATCAAATACTGTTTAAATGAGCTACTTGAAAACAAAGTTTCAATCAAAGATAATCTTTTAAGAATGGATCTTTTGTTCTCTACCAAAAGTCATTCTCACTATTTTCTTCTGACACCTCAACACCAAGCTCACATTTCTATCTTCTCTCCTTCTCTCATCCTCCACACTCTCCCGCAACACCCAATTTCCTATATCCCTTATTTGATGCCCTGGGATCCAGTGTAATGGTCTCTGTAGCTACCTGAAAAATCTGTGTCTGATGCATTGTCATCATTCTCTGCCCTGTTTCTTTTATTGCAAATATATCAGTTTTATCTGGCAGTGGGGCTTTCAAATATCTCAGTGGTTGCAACAATCTTATATTAGGTTTCAATTATTGAGGAGACTTTTAGATTGATGGAAGAAGGGGATATTAGGCTTGTCAATGTTTATCAAATGTTCACATGGCAGTAAACTCAATTTTCTTTCAATTCAGTTTGAGTCTAAAATCGCTGAAATTGGTCACTGTTTCCTGTTACTTTTCACTACTGTAATAGCTGCCTACCAAATAATCAGGTATTAAATTTTTATGGTTTTGCAGATCAACAGGTCATACCTAAAGACTCTCCAGCTAGGCTTTCCCAAAGGACTAGTCTGATGATGTCATACTCAACAGTGGTTACAAAGGGAAGGCTTATGTTTTTACTGCCAACCAGGATGCAAATTGTTCACATTGAAATGCTCTATAAGCTCAATAAATTAATTTCTTGAAAATATAGCCACAACCCAAGAAGTGTCAGGAGGAATGAAAACCCTAGGGCTCAGGTCCAAAAGGGATTCAATGATAATGTAATATATGAGATAAAACATATCTAGAAAAGCCTTTGGATCACTGATTTTCCATTCTAGCCCAAGGTATACAAACAGTATACAAGAATCTAAAAACATTTTGCAAAAGCATTTGAATTTCAAGCAAAAAGTGAATTCAGTTGTTGAATTGTTACCTCTTTCATGCCATATGAAGGTCGCTCCTTATCAAGAGATGGAAGAAAAAGGCGCATAGCGGGAAAGAAGGTGTCATTCTAGGATAAAATCCATAGGTATCAGACTTTCAGGTATGTTTCAGCATACAATTAGACAAAAACATAATCAAAAAAATTGTAAAGGGGCAGAAAAACACAATTTCACTTTATGAATAAGCTACATTAAGCTAATGTGCTATTAAACAACCAACGCTTTTTTAGCATTATTAAAAGGAGTATCAGGCATAACTAGAGTTGTGCACTATTAAGCATGTTATCCTGGGCATAGTATGCTCATTTTTTCCTTAATTTTAGATCTTTTAGATGTTTATGTTTTCAACTTAGCTTGCAATCTTCTGGTGGTTCAAGAATCAATGAAAAAGCAAACATTTGAGAATACTAAAGCTTTTTGTCTGACACTCTTCAGAGTATAAAATGTCAGAACATAGATCAAAAACTCCATCCATTAAAAAGGCCCTTTCATCCATCCAAAAGGATTGTGTTCCCACTACCCAAGAGAGTTCTGTTATCTACAAGTTTACGAGCCAGTGTGATTCTGGCTCATAGGACACACAACCCAAAGATTGGGGGATAGGATAGAACAGCACATCCCTTCCAGCATTAGAAACAAAACTTATCCCCAAAGAGAACAGCAACCTTGGTCTTGCAGATCTAAAATTATGAATAGAACATGCAATTCTGCAATCAGGCAGCATTTATTGGAAAACCCCAAATTGTGCAAAAAACTATAATGGCTACATGTTTCAGGTTATTATTGGTAAAGCCTGATCGTTGTTCCATCTAGTAGCATTCCTGGATTCTATCTACATTAGCATGAAAAAACCGGTACTGTGTAGACAGAAGGAGTTTGTTTTGACCTTAGGACTTCATTGATAATATTTATCAATAGGCAAGCCGCACTGATTGGTCAACCTTAACATTCATGTGCTCACATTTCTGATTGGCCTATTTGGAACCACAACTTAGTATATACATTTCCTAGTGTAAAGTTTTCAATCTATGTTCTGACGTTTTAAACTCTGAAGAGTGTCAGACAAAAAGCTTTAGTATTCTCAAATGTTTGCTATTTTCAAAGCCATTTTAAGCTTAGATTTTTTATGCAAATCATATTTAATGATAATTTTTAGAATGATATCCATAAAGACTTTAAATATGAAAAGTTGTTGTTTAATAATACAAAAAAATGCCATGGTGAATAACTTTTTTATGTTGATTCGAGCTGCAAGCAAAAAGGACAGATCTTTTCCCTGCACTTTATGTTTAAATTTTTCTTCCTCAGGTTTTTTATCTCAATTTCCAGCACTTACTTGTTGTTTTCTAAATTGTTTGCTTTTATAATTATTTAACTTTTTGAAAATAAAAATGCAAAAAAATGAGCAAATTACGTTATGGTTATTAGCATTCAAATGTTTTGTTTCGGTTGAATTTATTTTTAGTTTTCTTTGTTTAATACATGATCTATATATGAATAAAACATTCGTTATTAATTGCAGATAAAATGTATCAAATGAACTAATGGGTGCTAAAAAAACATGAACTTATATGACCTTGTTATTGTTTATATCGCGGTGAATTCTAATGTGTACTTCCCTCCACCGATGAAGAAATTTCTTGAAAATATCTTTCTTTTTTTCTTTTCCTTGACTATCATCTATTTTCTGTATAACCATGCAAAGATCGAAAAAAGGAACCTGACAAGCAACTTGCCCTCCCCTATCTTCCTCCGCCATATTGTTGTTTTCCTTGTGCCTCTCACTGGTGCCTCTGCTCCTTTACCGCTTATCTGCGAAGGAGCTTTTCGTTGTGGAAGCAGAAATATGAAAGCGGATATCATTAGAATACCAAATAAACAATGGAAAGAATTTATAAACAAGAGAACGGAGAGCACTTAATTGCCTTTCTTGCTGTGTAAATTGACAACACAAACAAAACAGGCAAATCTTTGAATAATGCTGGTCGTCCTGTCGCAAGAGCAGTTGAAATAACACGGCATTAGTAATGGCTAGCATGAAATTTTCTAGCAAACGAAACAGCGATGAGGAACAAATTGTTTCCTTTTTCACAAGGTAAGTAACTTTTTTCTTCCGGAATCATCCGATTAATTTACTCACGATTAACTGAAGTCATGCAACGAAGGAATTAAATCTGATTCGAGCTTAGAAACGCTAAGATCTGCTGTGTTGATAAGAGAATGTCGCGCTTAACGCCCCAAAGGGGGCAAGCCATAGCACCCCGAGAGGTGTTTTGTTCTGGTCTGGCTGAAAGCATTGTTAGATTCTCAATTACAATGAAAACCATCATATTTATATTAGGGACTACGTAGTAGGTAGTTTGGCTGGCTGACAAAGCATGTGTGAAACACTGGCGGCAAACCCACTGACTATACAAGTATAAGTAACCATGGACCCTAATGACATTTTTGTGGAGACTTCGGCAGTGCAAGGGCGCCAGTGGCGGAAATTATGTGGGTTTTGGGGGGCTCGCCCCCCCCCCCCTAATCAACGATGTCGTCGGAAAATTTGGGCTTTCGTCGGATTGACAACAGTTTAACGTGTCGAAATTTCTCCAAGAAATCGTTCTGAAACGGGATTTCAAGCTTATGTAAGGGGCGTGATTGCCAAATTTTCTGCTCGCTTCGCTCGCAAGTGATCTGCATTTTCCCTTTTTACCCTTTAAACCCTTTTTACCCTTTTTACCAGTACTAAATAATCAATCAAACAAACAATTTATGACCAAAATCAAAACTGCTTGTGAATTGTATGTTTAATTTCAATTCCGTAAAGTTTAGCCGGAATTTCCACCAGATTCTTCCGAATAAAAGTTATTTTCAAACGCATTTCCCATTGACGAAAACAAAATAAAATGCATAAAATGAACTACCCTGGGTACCAGACTCACTCTATCTCTTATTTTATTTAAAGTGAGTCTTGTACCCAGGGTAAAAATGAACGTACGACTTGTCAAAAGTGTAATCGGTCGACCTCTTGTATCATCAATTGTCTTAAGTGAGATAGCGATCTTGATATCAAAAACCATAAATAGATTATTCTTCTTGCCAGAGGCGTTGTGGCTCCTGGAAAAGGGCCGGGAGAAAATGATCTTAAGGGGGCCCGTTCTTCATCTCCAATCACAAACCACAGGTCGCTTATGGTACGTACCTGGAAACCATGCACCCAGGCGCGGACACTTGGTCAATTATGGGGGGGCAAGCCTATTGTTTTAATAAGATGACGTCACATTTCCCATTGTTTTGGAATAAAAGACCATTGTCCTCTAAAGTATTGGGGGGCGGTCGCTCCCCCTCGCCCCCCTCCCAGCTGTCCGCTACTACATGCACCAACGAAAAATTACAAAGATGCCAGTTTTATCATCTTTAAAGGTTCTCTGCTATATTTGGTGGGGGTGTATACCCTTTTCTCTAACCATAGTCTCTTTAATACTGGAAAGATGTGGGACAAATCCATTGATGTAGTTTACGCTTAACACCAGCTTAAACGCGATAGAGCACTTACGTGCACTACAAGCGAATAGCCTGTGCTCCAGACCCCTACTCGTGCCCTTTAAATTAGCTTGAAATACATTTCAGAACGTTTTTTGCAGTCGTTTACCGCGTTTTGCAAGTTTTAGGAATACTTTTTTGCTTTTCGTTAAAATTTAGTTCTTAAATTTGAATTCCTTGCATTAGGAGGCTCCCTAGACCTCGAGACCCTGGGGTAGTTTGTCCCCCCTTGCCCCCCTCTTGGCGGCCCTGTTCATATTCCACGTCGCAAGGGCCTCTTTCGCAGGGGCCTGTTTGTATATGTTGACCTCCTCTAATTCTGAACTGTTAACTTGAGTCTACATGTGAGGGGTTTTCTCACCAAGGACTTTATTCATATTCAGTATTTTCTGGGGTTTTACAAACTCACCTTTAAGGGGTCCACCAGTAAATTTCCCTGTGTCCTGCCTAGCCACAACGCCCCTGCTTCTTGCTACTTAATTATGGCGTGGTCAGCAAAGATTTCTAAAGGGTCCCGTCAAAAAAATCATCTATTTTTATCAAAATGATCCAAGTTTCTTTAAAATTAGACATGATCCAAGATTTCATCTTGTTGGAAAATCGTAAGCCTTGCCCCCCCTCCCCTTAATGAAAGCCTGAATTTCCACCACTGAAGGGGCTCTGCAATTGATTTGTGCGAATCCACGCAAAATAATCCACTGATATGACTCCATATTTAACGAGCAACATTGCTGGTGGTATTGTGTTTTCGTGGGATTTTTATTTGATCAAGTGTACTTGTTTTCTGCTAACCATCACTCTTACGTCAACTACAGTCAACAGTGGCGGGTTCAGTCTCGATCAACGTAGCATAGTTTTTCCTCGGTGTTTATTTTTGTGACATTAGGTTTACCATTTTTTATTCGATATAACAATTTCCTACTTCATACGTAGCATTCCTTCTCGCGAACTCGATAAGCCGCTGGAGAACTCATTTGTTCACATTTTATCAGCGCAGCTCTGAATGCATTAACCAGATTTTTCTGCAGTTTTTGGCCATGCGCACACGCTCGTCCGTGGACTCGTTTCCTTGAAATATTTCAATTAAAGGGGAACCTCTCAAGTTCCACTAGAGGAATTTCAGGCATTGAAGTTTTCCAACATTATACTGTTACCCGATTTCATATACCTTGAAAAATTATGATCAGCGTCTGGCAGCGTGGAGCGGAAGGGGGGCTTTAGCCCCCCCACTTTTTGCAAAAATGCCAAATTTTAATTGATAAACTGCTAGTAAAGCCTCTTATTGTACTGTTTTAGCCCCCCTTTTTAGACCCCCCACTTTTCTTAACGCTCCGCGGTGCCTGGGCGTTATTGACCTTTCTCCAAGCCTGCAATTATGGCCTCAACTTTAAACACAAAGTAAAATTTATGAAAAACATATGAGCAGTTTTTTACCAGAAAAAAATTTGTAATTAGGGGTCTATCTGTAGCATTTATCTGTTAGTGCAGCATCAGGGCTCCTACCAAGTTTTCAAAATTAAATTTCTCTGACACAATCATATTTTCTTTCTTTTGCTGTATAGACTGTTCAAGCCTGATTTTTCGAAACTGATTAATTTACAGACTTCTTCTGTTGATGTTCAATCTTTTGATCATATGTTGATGCTCAATCTTTTGATCATATGTTGATGTTTAATCAGTTGCACAAACATTTTAATTTGCAAACAAAATCAATTTGCATTAAGTATCTCGCTCGAAGATTTGCAAAAAATGTCAATATCACGGCATGTTAATAGTAAAAAGAAGAGAATAATTATTTGTTGGGGGACATTGTCTTATGTTGGAAAAATTCCCACCACAACTTTCAAGAAGTTAGGGTGCCGTTAATGACCAAGGAAAACTAGATTAGTGCACACGTTTAATACTTGATTGCTTTAAGAAATGTTGATGTCAAAAGGCAGTTTATGCTCTCTTGCTATTTACTACAAAGATATCACGTTTGCAGGTTACAAAAGAGTAGATCGCGTCTCTTGTTTTCTTTTGTTTGCATTTTCTGCGGTTTTGGTCGATTAATGCAACACACTTCCTGAAAACTGGACAGCCTTGGTTTAAACTAGCCTGGCGAATGGCTTGCAGATTTTACATAACTGTTATTTGGAATATTTTTATCTCTATCTTGTAAAATATAATCATTCATGTAACCTGTTATTCGTACTTTTGAATTAAAGGCAACCAAAATCTGCCCCCGATGTTGAGGCAAGGCTGAACAGAATAAAGCAACACGATGGAGTGCTCGGTGTGATTGTGGTAAACAACGAAGGCATCGCCATCCGAACAACTCTTGACAACCCCACGACGCAGCTCTATATGCTGCATTGCCGGCAGCTCATCCATTTAGCAAGACATACTGTCCGAGATATTGACCCAACAGACGATTTGAACTTTTTCAGAATGCGAAGTAAGAAAAACGAGCTTGTCGTTGCACCTGATCAGGGTTACACAATAATTGTTATCCAGTCTTGTCCTGGCCAGAATTAACGAATGAATCGATTATCATATTTAATAACTTAATTATTATAGTTAACCTGTCGATTGAATTTTTGATATATCAGACAAGCAAAATGTGTTGTTGACGCTTATTACACTTTTACGAATAAATATTTTCATCAACGACTATAAATTTTTCTGCCATGTTTATATCTTTTAATTATTTTCCAAGTATTATCTATTCTAGTCTCACTTTCTATTTGCTGTGCTGGATAGTCGCCTCGGTTTCTGCATAATGCTTGTAAAATGTGACGTGTACGAGATAAAACAAGATAAAATACGATAATACACGATAAAGCACGATGATACAAGATAATACAAATTAAGCTGTATGTCTCTGAATTACAATTTGATGAAGAAACCTTGTCGTGCTTAGCATTTACTTGCCAACTAAGGTTTCGACAAACTAGGTTTGCATTCGAAGACACCACCGCCAGCTTATTCGAACATTGCATTGCCATTTTAACAGGGCGTGATGGCTTCAAAAGCTTGTTGCAGTTTATCGAATGCAGTTTAAATTTAATATTATTTCACCATATCAGAAAAAGTAACAACAATACTCGGTGGCTTATAATAAATGGTTAGCTAAAACAAGCATGATGGTGACCTAAGTGCAATACAGTTATGCGAGAAGCATAAATACACTCAATGCACAGATGGCAGACATGATTAAGGTACTTGTCAAAATACTTCCTTGAGAAGTTCCACTTGCAAACGGGTCGTCAACATAAACTGGCCCAGTACAATTGGGGCAAGGGCTTCGTAAAACGCATATGTTTCCTTTGGCGCAAGTAAGAGAGCAGTTTCCGCCGGGACAATTGACACTGCCCCATTTAGTTGCCTTGCTGAACTTCACTGTACATGATCCTTTGAGGCAACTCGTCTCTGTATAGTATGACTTCACGTTGATGCTGCAGCCTCCACCATGGCACTTTGGATAACACTCAGCCTTTTCATCCCCGCCGTCACATGTCATTTTGCAGTTAGATTTTCTGCATATCGGGAAGCAAAAGTGAGCAAAGCATTCAATGTCTGGGCAGTTTTCGTCGCACATTAGTTGACAAGGCTTCTAGAAACGAAGTTAACAAGATTAAACAGCCAAAAAGAGATACAAGTAATATTTTCAGTTCCTGAGATAAAAAGTAAATCACTGTATTTTAAAACCTGACAATATTTTGTGGGTAATTTCTCGGCTATTGGTTGGGAAGTTTTTTGCGGCCGGGAAAATTAAAAAAGAATGGCTTCCGATAGATAGAGCCAACCCGACAAAAAGATTTTGCGTAAAATGAGAGCGAAATCACATGAAATTTGTTGTATGTTTTCAAAAAATCATCTTAACTTTTTTGCATCAGTAACTTTTGCGTGAACAGCCTACTTTGTTGCTATCTTGTGTACTTGTGTTTTTTTTCCCATTTCGAAAAGTAGAATGATCAATTGCATTTATGTCAAAATTGTTATAAATTATAGACGAAAAAAGGCCAATTAATTCAATGACTCACGTGTCTGGTGGGCGAAGATGGGCTATCAATCTTGCAGGCCAATTTTGAGCAACCGCCATTGACGCAATCAGTATAACAACCCGCGCTAGAAGTACAAGACATTTTGCAATCCTTCGAATAGCAAAACTGTAAACAATTGCTCGATGTGTCTTTGCAAGTCTTCAGATCGCACACGGGCGCTGTGCAGTTCTGAAGGGCCGCGTTTACACAAGGAAGAAATAATGCGACGAAGCATATGCATAATAAAGACTTCATTTCCAGATTCTTGTCCAGCTTCTTTTCCATGTTCTAAACAATACAGACGTATTATTTCAGACAAATACAGACAAAAAAATTATTTGACTATAATTTCTGTTTTTAATCAGAAAGTTGATTCTACGTCACCCACTGTATTTAGAACACTTAGAACATTTAGAACTTTAAAATGCAAGAAATTACCTTCAACTGTAAGTAAATTAAAAATGATTCGCTAAATTGTCCGTTTTTATTTACTGCACTTAAGAATGAAGTAAATTTACTCTTAATGTAAAGTAACTAATTCCTTACATCTAAATTTTAAAGAATTGCTTTAAAAGCAAAAAATTCGCATAATCATAATCACTGCAAATTTTGCAAAGACAGCATGATTTATTCAGTATAGGTCTTTGAATAGATATAATATCGCTTGATGCAAAGGTTTTTGAGTTGAAAACCGCGTGCATCGAATGTCGCGTAAGTCGATGACATTTTACCGTTTGATGACGCCATGGTGCAAGAGCGTACTTCAACTCCCTGTAAAAGAAACGTCAGGCGCTCTGGCATTTATATTCAAATTACCAAAAACCAAAATCTAATATTTATATTCAAATTACCAAAAACCGTGTTTGTTTTTGTGAATGCTGGACCGTGACATCTAAACATTTTTTGGTAATTGGAATGAGCGCCTTAATGTCTTGTCCGTGTAACACATTGGTTTCTTCAGGGGCGGATCCAGCAAAAACCTGACTGAATTCCAGGCCAAGGCTAGGGACTTTCAGATAATGCATTGATCATTGTGCATAAAACAACATTATTATTCATATTTATGCATTTTGGTACCATTGAGGGGAGGGGGTAGGTACTATCTACTCACTAAATCTAGATTCTAGACTTCTTTCCGACAAAAACAGTGCCTCTGTGAAAATTTTTTCAACCCCCTCCCTTTCTCAATACCCTTTGTTTGTTTTGGATGCCACAGCAAAGTTGTTCCCTTTTGTTTTGCTCGCAATTTGTTGTTTTCCCTCCGTAGACACCAGCCTATTAATCCAAATATGGTGTTCCGTCTGAGCATAGGTTTTCCGTGCCATCAAAGACTGCAAAGCAAAGGTAGTTAACACTTCTGGAAAAATAACGATATCTCTTGGTTTTATCTCAAATGCTTAATAATCTGCTAGAATGCTACGATGGTCGTGAGTATAAGACATCTGCAGTCAACATTTCGAATTCAATGTTTTGCAGTTTCACAATAGGACAGAAACTATAGGTAGCCAATCAACTACGGGCCATTGTACAGCTCTCTGACAAATATTGTATCATTTCCGAGTTCCAGATGCTGTTTTGAATGAGTTCCATCCCGAGAAAACAAGGCGGCCATACGGTCAATGACCGAAAGGAAGGCCAAAGAAAACAAAAGAAACGAAAGTGCCATGCCTAAACCACGCCTTGTCGTCTTTGTTTTCTGTGGAAGGTTTCAAAAGCTTGAAGAAATTATAAGGAGAATGAAGTAACACTTTTACTTATTTTGTATTAACAGGCGCCGCGGAACGTCGAGGAAAGTCTAAAAAATTGGGGGGTGGGTAAAACTGAATGGTGATTCATTGGTAACTTTTTGCATTTATGGCAAAAAGTGGGGGGCTATAGCCCCCCACCCCCTTCTCCACAGTCCACAGTGCCTGATTAATATAAAATAAAGCAATAGGCAGGGCCATTTAGCCCATGAAATGTGATCACGCACATAAGACTGTTTTAGAAATTATTTTTGATAGTTTGAATTAAATGGTCCGTGGTCGCATATTTTTCACTGTTTTGATGGTAAACTGTCATGGGATGTCAAATGAAATGATATTGCAGAACGGCTTTACATAATGGTTACACTGAAATCAAAATCATCTTACAGAAGGAAAATTTTCGAAAAAACAGCTTCAGACCAAACTTCCAATAAGCTATTTGCAGACCACCTTTGCTGGATGCCAATCGATTGTTTTACTTGCAGCGACATTCCACTGTTGTTCAATGTCATCGCACAAAATGCATGGTACATTTTGAAGTTATACACTATACTCTATAGATGACCGCAGCTCCAATCCTCATCTTCCCTGTCCGACTAAAACCGTGGCATCTGGGGCCATGGCATTCTTTCAACTATTTGTACTGCTGAACAGAGAAATTAAAGAGAACTTCTTGTATTGGTTGGAACATTAATTTTCTGTATAAAGCTTACAATTTTCTTTGTGCTTTACTGTTTTCTAAGAATCTAGATCTTATGGACAAAGCATATATCGGAAAAAACCAGATTTCGGACAATAAGGTTGCTATGGTAACAATGAAACAATGGGAAATAACCTGCTATGCCTAGGTCATGCATGTGTGAAACTTTTTGTCATTTTTTCACTGTTTAAAATGTTTTAGAGCAATCTAAAAACCTTCTTGCATAATAGCCAAATCTTCAAAATGAGGTGAGCCTTTTCAGAGCCATGCAGAATCTTTTGGGCTAAAATCGTTGAAAACAAAATGTCTGTAGTACACTATTCGTACGTAATACATTGATATATAAATATCTATCATTTGAGTTATACTGAAAAACTGCATATTGCATTGCATTGCGTTGCATTGTTTTGTTAGTGTTTGAATGGTTCGTGGTTTCCGGGTGTTGGGTGCAACACCCCCACAACCCCAAATATTTTTGTGTCACTGGGTAAATTTTCTTTGGATCGGTAAAAAATTTTTCGGTAGTCAGTAGTGATCAAATGTCCACAAAATTCCAATTTATTTTTGTCATATCTTTTTTATCTAGTGTTTCTGTCATTGTGCATGCTTGCGTGTTTCATTTTGCATGCTTCATCTTGCATGCTTGTGACCTTGCCTTTCATTTCATACATGATTACACGATACTTGAAAGTTCTCACTTACGCCGTTGGGGAATTTATTCTTATAATGGAAAATTAGTCATAACTAGTACAAATAAATTAAGCTTATCTCTAATAGCATGTCGAAGTAAAGAAATCAAATTCTTGCTGCAAAAACATGTAACGGTTTTGTTTGATAGCAGATGGATGCCTCGTTATGCAGGTAGGCCCCTAAAAATGCTGTATTGTTGCATGAGTAAGGTGAAACCTTGCCTTTGGCGCATAGTCGGCGGTTGTAAAGCTTTCCAGTACATGGCATGGCTGTCGTCTTGGCGATTCTAGTCCCTTAAAACGCCTTTTTTCCCAGCAGTCACATTTTCAAGGCAGGCTTCATTTAGGCAAATGACACACATGAAAATTTTTAGCAAACAAAGCAGCGGTTCAAATTTTACTTCAAAGTTACACTTGACAGCGGTTGATCTCGTCAAATTGAAGTAACAATACAAAGCTTACCGTTCTCGTGTGTGAAATGACTTTCGTAGCCTTTGCAGCTACAAACTTAAACGAATGGACGAGCGCGTCTTCGGTACACCGGCA